GATGAGGGGAGGAAAGAGATGAAGGGTGAAGGAGGATGATGAAGAAGGTGAAGGAAGAGGAGGAGGGAGAAGGTGAAGGAAGAGGATGAAGAAGGTGAAGGAGGATGATGAAGAAGGTGAAGGAGGATGATGAAGAAGGTGAAGGAAGAGGATGATGAAGAAGGTGAAGGAAGAGGAGGATGATGAAGAAGGTGAAGGAAGAGGAGGAGGGAGAAGGTGAAGGAGGAGGAGGAGGAGGAAGAAGAAGCTGGAGGAGGAGTGGTTGAGGAAACTTCCTGTCGGTGGAGGACGAGACCAACACATTCACCTCTCACTCACCTCATTGTACCTGTGCTAGATCAGGTGAGCGAGGTGCTGGGTCGGTCTCTCTCTCTCTCTCTCTAAGTCTCTCTCTATCTGCTTCTCTCTCTATCTCTCTCCCTATCTACCTCTCTATCTGCCTCTCTCTCTCTCTCTACGTCTCTCTCTATCAGCCTCTCTCTCTCTACCTCTCTATCTGCCTCTCTCTCTCTCTCTACGTCTCTCTCTATCAGCTTCTCTCTCTCTCTCTATCTCTCTCTCTATCTCTCTCTCTCTCCCTATCTACCTCTCTATCTGCCTCTCTCTCTCTCTCTCTATGTCTCTGTCCTTTTCTCACTCTTTCACACATACAAAATCTGTCTGTCTGTCTGTCTGTCATTCTCTATTTGCCTTTTATCTTTCTCTCTCTCTGTCTCTTATCTCTCTATCTCTGTCTTTCTGTATCTTTATCACTGTCTGTCTGTCACCCCCCCCCCTTTCTCTCTCTCTGACACACACGTAAACTATCGACACAGGAAAAGACATACACACATACATACAAAATACTTAAGACGCACACAAACACATACATACATACATACATACATACATACATACACGCGAGTATTCTTAGAGATGAAATAATAAGAAAAGGTTATGGCTGTGTGTGTGTGTATGTGTTGCACCTCTCAGGAAGTTGGCGACACGAACGGAACTTTCACTCAGTCAGTCGAGCAGAGAAAGTGTTAACCACCACTACCACCACCACCACCACTTCCTCCCACCAACACGCAGTTCCCTTCCTCTTCACTATTATATTTCCTCCTTAACCCTTTGAGGATGACGGTTTAACCCTTTGAGCACGATGGTTTAACCCTGTAAGAATGATGACAACCCTTTGAAGACGATTATTTAAACATAAAAAAATCTATCGGAACAAAACAGGTTCAGTAATTTCCCTTCCGGTATAACTATAACTTCAAATCACACGTATCATCAAGGTGTTCATTTAATCCAGAGGTAAAAACAAAATGACAGTCACGTTTCCTCCATTTTTCTCCATGAAGTAACTCTTAAGAAGATCAACAATTTTCACGCGCGGTAGTAAATCAGAAAGTTCTAAATTCATCTTCACCTTCGTCCCCAACCTGATTTCTCAACTTTAAATCTTGAACGCGACCATCCATCCATCCTATGATTCTACTTTACCACCGCTTACGTAATCCCAGGGCGGAAGGGGATACAGTATTATATCCGGGGTACGGTCAGAGGACGAGGAACGGCTGAGGATAGCGTGTTAAAAAAAAAGGCGAGCGAAAAAAAGCAGTAGATGGATGTGGTATGTATGGGTGGGTGTTTGCTGGGCGGGTCATCAGCTGGGTGAAGAGGACTAGTTGCTCATCTGCTTAATGAAAGCTGTTGTCCTGGGTGGTGTTCCTAGCTGTTATATTATTAATAATAGTAGAAGTAGTAGTATCCTTATTATTACAGGTATTTTATATTATTATTATTTTTTATTATAATTATACAATTAAAGTATTATAATTATTATTATTATACATTACAGTATTATTATTATTATTATTATTATTATCATCAAATCCAAGAACGAGTTCGAGATATACAGTACAAAATCGCTCGACTGGTCGTGTCCGTAGCTTCCATCCTTGCTTTCAGCTTACAGTACACGTGAATGCTACCGACTATTGCAATAAGTGAACGGATTGTCTTGAAACTCGACCGAGTTTCTGATTCAACTAAGAGTTCAGACTAGTGTGATAATAGACAGGATTCAATTATTTCAGCGGCGGGTTGCAGTGTGGGAAGCGTTCGAGTATACAGTACGTCGAGTGTTGGATGTGTAGAACACATGCCATATACTGATGGTGTGTTTATTTCTTTATGTTTGTGATGTTTGTTGATAGCTAATCTGGGTCATTTATTAAATGAGACAGATAGAGTTAAGAATGATAATCTGCATAATATCAGGTGTGTGCTGGAGAGGTTGACCTGTTGAGCCAGGTAGGGGTAGGCGTCTTGTTTCGTCACGGTGTCAAGCGTGGGAGGAAACTTACGATTACTGCTGTGTTGCTGCTGCTATGTACCTCGGCCCCGGCGTCTCATGACCTGGCCTGGGAGTAAAATAGTGACGTAATAACGGGAGAGAAGAGAGAGAGAGAGAGAGTCAAGTACCCAACGCCTCTGACGCAACGTTCGACGCTTGCGCCCCTCAAGACTAGTCAAGCCGCTCCCTGCACGTAGATAAGTGGAGCGCATTTATCTAACCTTATGGGGCCTTCATGACTTTGTAATCTCCTTATTGTTTAAACAAAGCCTCGAGTATATTAATCTGGAGGTAATAAGCGAGTAATACGTCCTGGCGGTGACTACAGACACAGGAAATACAGGCGGTGTCGAAGAAGCTAATACGGGTAGGCTGTTAGCGCCTCCGACTGACGAAACTCGATGTTGGTGAGTTTATGTATGGTGAGAGGCGAAAGGTAGTGGGAGGTATCAGGTGGCGGCCTCCACACCCCTATATCTCACATGCTGGGTATTAGTAAGTGTCTGAGGGCCTCCACGTACCCCGCTAACCTAGATAACCCGTAACGTGTGTTCTTTACTTACCCCGTAGTTCAGAGCCTAGTTGTTGCGCTACACTCTTGCATAAGTTCGCTCTTGTAGTTAGTTGCCCAATTGTGAACCGGTTGTTGTTGATGCTATCTGCTGTAACTAAGGCCCTCACCCACACATAATGTAATTAGGAGAAAAGTAAAACACACCCACTCACAAAAGTAGAGTAAAAGTAAACCATCTAACCACTCACGTAAATAAGTAATGGTAAAAGTAAGACCCACTTTTAAAAAGAGGAGCCAATCTTCCCGTCACTTACAGTATATACAAAACTAGAACCACACTTCAAGTTTCCAACAAAATAAAGATGCCAATTCTCTCTCTCTTAAAGATATTTACTTACTGACCCTACTGATTTAGATATCTTCAGGACGAGGGAGTCGGCAGGTCAGAGAATCCAAAAATATTATAGCCACAAGACAAGACCGGGGTGAGGAGAGTCGAGCATCCGAGAGAACCCTAATGGAGTCACATAAACGCCGTCGTTAAATGTGTTAAATACAATGACAAATGTACAGTATATATATATAATTCCTATTATTTACTATATTAATCAAGTAGGTATAACTGTTGGACACATAATTATACCTAACGCCCAAAAAAGATGCCTTACCTCAGTCATCCAAGTTTTCTTTTCAGTCTTGCTCGTATCTTCCAGTTTGTTATTCCAAAGATTTGTTCGTACAGTCAATCTCGTGACTGTACTTCAACAACTAAGGTCTTAAAGCGCGTATAACAATTCCAATAATTACACTCGTCCATCAACGATTATATTACACGAGAGATTATTAAGCCCCAATGTCAATACCATCAGCAGTTGATGGCCACTGACGACAGTTACTATACAACCTTGAATTCTGTATCTCTGGGCTGGAAAATTCTTGAGTCATTGTCTATTGGTAAACTAAATGATTGTGTCGTGAAATTTGGGTAGACTTTCCAACATAAACTCAAATATTTCTCCTCTAACTCAATAAGATTTCCGACAATTCATTTATTAAAGGTCGTCACCATGCTGTTTCTTACTTTACAGCCCAGTTTATAAATAATCTTCTATGGTTTTCTGATACCACATGAGTAAGAATTTTCACAACTATAATGCTATAGATTTTTTTTCTTCACGATAACAGGATGACAACTCACGACACTTCACTTGATTGCTTGTTTGTATTACCATTACTCAGTAAATTGATGTTACAGTGTTTTTACTGCAACCACCGAGGTATTTAAGTGTATTTTAAGTTATCAATACCAAGGAATATCCAATACACTAGTCCTCGGTAATCAAATTAACAGATACGTATCACTGCCCCTTCTCACAGCCGCCAAGACACTGCCTCATGGTTCTCGATCATTCGATGTTGACAAATAGATTTGGAAAATATCTCAAAATCTCCAGATGCCAGTTTGAGTATTTCATAAAATTTTATTTAATAATCATACAACCACGTGAATATAAGAAATCAGTTATTTCTATTACTATAACTATTTTTGTTCTTGTAATTAGAGAAAATTAAATTGCTGTAAATTCTGAGTTGCAATATTAACAATGACTGAACTACCGGTTACAGGAACAAAGTAAAAAAAAATAAATACTTTATTTAGTGATACTAACACCATTCATAACTAACAACGATACACTTAATTTTATACGCATTAAACCGTGCTGATCTTGTTAGATAGAATACATCTTTATTAATCCGTCATTGGTAACTTTTTAAACAGTAGCCTAATTGGACCCACATCATTATATCGTACACATAAGTACATGCACTGAGTAATGTTATTATACATATTCTACAATAAACTGCCGATTGCTATCATAACTAAGGTAAAACTTCATATTTCCAAATCTTATTCCTTAGCAGTATCCAAGAAAGTGTTGCAGAAAATGGTTGTAATTAGGGTTGCTTTATCCTATGTGTAGGGTATTCTTAATTCCTTCAAGCATTTCCCGAGACGAATATCTTGAAAAATATAAAGGCTACAAGTAGTATGTACAGTACAGGTACTTGGGTAGGGTAATAAAAGATAATGTGAAACACCACAAGTCTTCCCTCAAGTTGTTTCTGGATAAAATAAAATACTTTTGATGGTTTTTATGTTAAAGATCATGACCATGGATATAACAACACCGAGAATAGGGCACAATATATGCTAACTCTCTCTACATAATTCCATAGAAAATTGTTTAAACTACTGTGTTTTTACATCCATGAGCAGGCTTTATATTTTATTTAAAACCAAGCACTGCTTCTCAGAACAGTTCAAGATCATTTCTACTACAGTTACCAGCGTAATATAAGTTACCTTGTACAACACACCAAAATCAGCGAATTAACACCAAACTGTGAAGTACAGATTTTAACGTGACATACACTCAACAGGACCCAACCAGCAGCCAAGGACCTGTTATCATATAGACCCCCCGCTACTCCCACACCACAACACCAACATATATAAAAATCTTGTGTTCTAACTTCATACATATGTGCAGGGGCCAACATATTGCCTGGAACTGGAACCCTCTGTAGCCAGTATACAATAATTTCTTTACATATATAAATAGCCTTATCAAGTTGCTTCACTCCTCCTCCCACACTAGAGGACTACATATGTGTAAGTAGTGTACAATACAACATTTTCCATCTCTTACCAATTTACAGCAAATTTATTCTCTCTAAAATCAGAATTATCAACTCCCAGACAAACCAAAACAGTTCATTCCCAGTCAAGCCACAACTGTCAACTCTCAGTCAGGCTATAATTATCAACTTCTTGTCAGGCCAGAGGTGACAGCTTTTGTCTAACTGAGAGCTGACACCACTACACCATTCAAAAATATAAGTTCCCTCTAGAATTTAAAATTTAAATGAAGTCTTATTAACAGCTATTAATATTACTCCAATATGATAAATGCTTTTCCTAAGAATCACATTACAGTACTGTATTATCATCATCAAAATTTAGTACAGTACAGTAGTATATATTCGTAGATTGACTATGTTTATGTATTCTTGTTTACCTCATCCAAAAACACAAAAACATCATATTTGTAAGATCATAAACCTATTGACAAATTATAATTATGTTTGCATTGCTTAATCACACAAGACAATTTGCTCTTGAGAATAAATTGCCATTAACTTCTCGCTTTGTCCAGACTTTGAAAAGAGTGGAATCATTAAAATACTGTTAAACCACTAAATAAATGCATAAATGGTTCATAATAATATTCCACATAGTAATCACTGAAGTACTTTGCATACACATATCCATATTACACAAATTCTTTCTCATTAACCAGTAACTTGAATTTCATGTCATCATTTAGTCTCTAAATGAACACTCAGGAATACCATTTCAGAAACGACAAGTCCTATATGATGCCAACTTCTTGCCTGACTTCACGTGCTGTACTTATCATTCCTCTTTTATGTCTTAATGCAGTGAAATCTACAAGAACTGATCCACCAACAATCTGACTGTATACAAGAATATAATCACAGTTTAATTCAACATATCAAACCAGCACCTGGAGTTAGGATTGGCGTCCGTATAACAACACACCAAGAGGGCACAATTATGTACAGCACTTCAACGCACTACGACACCAACACCCTACTGATGCTAAATGACCTTCCAGAGAGGTACCGGGTCAATTTTATATTCGAGAACCCTGAATGATTACTATAGCTTAGAACGTGCAATAAACAGGAACCTAAAAATCAATAGGAATAAAGTCTTATCATATATCATTGTGAAGAACATAAATGACCCTGCACAATTTTATAACCACAGTTGGCTAATCAATACTCAACACTCATTTTAAAAACTAATTATCATAGTAACTTGGTTGGTTGTGTAGATTCGAGTAAGATTCCTGGTACAGTACAGTACGCCATAATGCTGACCTCAATATCAACACCATATACAAATTTTCCTAACCCATGATGAAGCAGAGGGTTAGTGTGTTTCATCAACCTCTAAATAACACAACTTTTGAAACACGACTCACGTACACCCTCCTCCATATGACGCTATCTCTAAGAGTATCCACAAATTCCCCCATACAACATCTTCCTCACACACGAACTCCCATCTTGTGTACCTTTGATTTTAACTTAACAGCCTCACTTTGATATTCTATGCATGTACACCACCCAGGTAACCTATCTCTTCCTGTTGACATGTCCATTTTGATGCAATCAGGCACACACACACACACACACACACACATATTCTACTGCACCACCATATTTATTAGCTTGTGTAAAATTCTGTTTATTCATGTTATATTAAGCAAGTAATAAAAGCAGTTATTACATACACCAGACAAATAGAAGGCCTTACAACACTAGTCAGATCTTTTGATTCACTTTACATCTTGAGGTGTTATATGTACTGAATTGTATATTCTGTATATATATAGTGGCAGTGTCTTAACTCACAAACACAAATCTGAATATGGGAAGGTATATATCTGATGTGTACAATGTTAAACAAATTAAAGAATATATCCACCATCTCACTTCTTATGCTCTTAACATCTCCACATCATCATCCAAACTTCTAACATCCTTGCAAACCTTCAACTCTCTCTTTTTCTCCATATATATATATATATATATTTCATTTCATTTGTTTCATTTTCTATTTACTGTAGATTTCTCAGAACAACAAATGGTTACAACAAATACAAACTGGTCACTTAACCTTCCTACTCTCACAGTGACACAGAAGCAGAAATGTAATGACCTTGTCGGCAGCACACTACACAATCACACGTCCTCTGATCTCCACTGGAATAAATTAAGTCTTCCCTCTCGTGTCACGCCAAGAATCGTAGATACACTTGGTGTACACAGTGTACACAGTGCTAGGTGACAACTTCTACCTCACACATGAACTGTTGCAAGTCCAGAAGAAGAGTGTTGCTAATCAGAACAAATGGACCAATCATGAAATCAAAATTATTGACTAATACCCACATTGCAGTCCTGAATATAGGATAGAATGACAACAATACACCTGGAAAACTATGAAATGATAAAAAATTCAGTTAATAAAATAGTACAGTACGTACTAGTACTGAGTAAATACAGTATAGACTATCAAGATCAATTTGTCCAAAACTAATGGACCGTCAAACCCCGAATACAAAGACTTTAAAAACAACTCGTCCTCTTCTGCTCTCTACAGTACTACACTTACAAAAACTACACACTTAAATACTTCAGCTGTGCAAGGAGAGAGTCATGTTCCTCATATAAGTAACATAACCGTACATCCATCGTATTGTTGTGATAGAAACCGTTTTCCTTTAATATGTGGATGATACAAGGATGAGACATTAGCCTATACCTCCTCCAGTGTATTGGTTTCTTGTGCCACATACACTGTAGACTCGGTCATACATACAGTACCCCGAGTGACAAATCCAACCCAAACCCTCTAAGAGGTCAGTACACCTGTAAGTGGTCAGTAAACCAGCCTGTTAAGTGGCACAAATTACCCACAACAAAGCAGAGAAGTTTAGAAGTGTTGCCGGAGGTGCATCAAGTGTTGCCCGAGGTGTATTGTGAGTGTTGCCCGAGGTGTATTGTGAGTGTTGCCAAAGGTGTTACATGAGGTGTATCATGAGTTTGATACCAGGGGTGTATCCCGAGGTGTGAGTGTTGCCTGAGGTTACCATGAGTGTTGCCAGTTGCCAGGGGTGTTTCAATAGTGTTGCCCGAGGCTCACCAAAAGATCCATCAACACTGGTAATGCTTTTTTTTTAAACTCCTCCCCCAACAACTACAATATCTACACAAAAGAAATAAGTACCCAACCCCATACAAGAAAACTACCAGGTAAATTTTAACCACAAATCCTTCAAAATAAAAGTAAAAGTTGACTTTAAATACCAGATTATAAAAAAAAATAATAATTTTGTAATAAATCATCACATACTTTTAATACCTAAAAAAATAAGAAAAAATTTATAAAAGTTCCTAAACTCACACATGCACAAAAAATAAAGTTTACAGTATTTTAAGGACATACAATAAAATTACAGTACTTAGGAAAATATAATCCTAAAATATAATGGATACCATATTATGTAAGTATTTCATCTGTATACTGGGTAACACATGTCGAAGGAGGGGAGCTTTTCCTTGTACCATATTAAAAAATTTCTGGTTAAGTCCTTGACAAAATTGATGGGACACTTTTGACAAAATTTGGTGCAGTACAGATTAGTATTTCAATGTCTGTTTAGTGGTATTCAGATTTATTTCTGGATTATATAATGCGTTTTATTTCTCAAGTTGCTCCTCTCGCCAATCACACATATGAATCAATAAGTAGTCACCATATACTGTACTGCTACTGCCAAGCGTCGATGGAATTTTGTCCTTGACTGTATGCATGTACTGTACATTGCTATAGGTCACGTTATGGTTTCATTAGTCAAGCCAAGACTAGCATGCCGTATTCGTATAGGAACATGTTAACCTTACAGCTGTAAAACATTGTCACACATGGGTGGGTGGTTGACTGTGTGTATGGTTGGTTGGTGTGGGGGGGTGTGTGTGTGTGTGTGTGTGTGTAAGGTTATAATGAGCATGGCGGGGTCTGTGTGTGTGTGTGCATATATGTGTGTAAGTTATCAGGAGCATGTGGCTGGTCACTCCTCGAGATTCCAAGTAAACTCGACTGACTGTCTGTTTGTCATTACCTTCTACTATAATTCAGAGGCATCATTTGGAAAACCAGAATATATACCAGGAATCTTAGGTACTGTACATGCTTTTATACGAGAGAGAGACTCGGTAAGTGACGCTGGGAGGAAGTATAAAACCGATGCCATGAGTCGACAAGGACCCAGTAACCGATACAACAGGACTTAAAAGTAATTGGAGCGACCAGCACACAACTTGAGTCCAGAACACTGTCCCCAGGCCTGACAGGACACCACCCACATCACCATTTCTAGCCTTACCAAGATGCCACACCCTCTTCCACAATGTAATACCCTTACATTAATTATGTCATAAATGCATTATTGAAAAAACAAGTCATTAATACCTGCAATTGTACTATTGCTCAGCACAGCATCATCCAGGCCATTCAGCATTGTTTTGTGATGCTCTCATTATATTTCTCTGAATATCCATTAATATAGTCATTTATAAACTAGTTAAACTGATATGAGGACATTATTTATATTTGGTAGGATTAAAACACAAGATATATAAAGTACCCTGGTATAAATAGGGCATATGAGGCTTACAGACTACATAAGTGATAACTTTGGTTGTAGGTAAGTTGAAACAATGTAACCCTCTGATGTACAGATCATTTAAGTAGACAACTGAAGTCATTACATTTCTAAGGTATTTAAAGAGTCACTTTTTAACCTGCTCTTCACAAATCTCTTAATATATTGTCACCTTACACATCTAGTTCCTCATTCTTGTGTACATTACTAAACAAATATTTTCCCTCATAACATCTCTAAGACGTGCCCAACAACAATATTTAATATACTATCTATACCCACACCCTGCCCATAAAATCAAATAACTTAATTTCTATTCAATTTTCTTTATTGTCGCACACTCTAAACTTCCTTTGGTAATTCCACCTTTAAGCAGTGTAAAATTCAGGGAGAAAAAATCCCTGAATCCCAGCCCTAATAAGCATTCCTTTAATTGTGGGTCAGTTCAGTGGATTCATTTAGCCTTATGCACCACCCCAACAAGACAGTACAACACCTTCTAGTCAAATTGATAACTTTAACCCTTAGGCCAGTCTCCACACTTTCATTAAATTATGCACTTCCATTTTCTCTCAAGCACAGATCATATTTTCTATAATTTATTACACTAAAACATTTTCCAATATACTGTCTTATTTAGTTCTGTGGGGTGGCACCTGCTATATGAAAGGACCAGAGGCTTGACAAGACACCTTACAAAATGAAGGGTCAGCTTAATCACCAGCCTTGACGTATGTAGTACCAAAAAACATGAGCACACGGTAGCTTATACTCCAGAGTCCTGATACAATGTACAGGAGTGGCAAACCTTACCTGACACTGATGCTGTGGGTCAGGAAATTATCTCTTTCAGTCAATAGTCCAGAGTATCACCACTTTATTTCCTTACATTCCATAAGTCATCCTGATTGACGCTCTATCACATGTCATTCCTAGATCAATAAATACTATACCTACGTTAACATCTCTTGTTTCATTTCAGTACAAGTTGTATTTTTCAACCAAAATTATTAATACAAATAACCTGGTCCATCAAGATACACAAAGGTACAGTAAATATTCAGACTTACATTTTCTTTTTAAGTAACTGAATAATAATAATAATAAAAAAGTTCTGTACAAAACAACAAAATGCTAAAATAAATTCAAATTTCTTTTATGATCTTCAAAGTCACAATTGGTTTTGGTCATTAGTCTACAATATATACTGTAGCGACCAACTGGGAAGCTGAACACACAGACACGCATACACACACAGCTTGCAGTTCCTTGCTAACATGAATCATAACAGTGCAAAAACTAATTAATCATTACAGCTTCACCAACACTCAAACCTCTAAACATTAATTTTCAATTATACATTAATTTAATTATGGAAATTATATAAGAAAATTTATAAAAAGTGATAATATTCTTTAGCAAAATCTATAATTTCTTAAACAAATTTTTATAAGGTCAAGTAAAAAAAAAATTGCGCTTCGGGTGACTCAATACCCTAAATAGTGTAGTGTTAACAAGTGTAGTTATGCTTAAGGTTGAAGGAAAGAATCAGGGAAAATAAGGACACCAAAATTACAAGTGGGTAGCCCAGGGGATGTTCAGGCATTGTGCATAACCAATACAGTACCATATCTACTGTACTCTGTTGTGGAACACTGTTATCAAAAGTTTTTAACCCTAAATGCAATGTTTTCCTTGTCTGCTACAGTTCTATATCACTTCAGGTACAGCAGCCATTATGCTACTGTAACTTGGTTATCAACCCACATCAAGTACAATTAATCAAACCATTGGCTGTAAAGAAGAGAGTAAATAACATAAAATACATGTACTGGATGCCTTAAATTCCTGTTTGTAATAATGTAGTACTGTATTAAAATCTGTCATTTAAATAAGTAGTTTAGTGACATATTCTACATATTTGTCTTGGTTCAGAGAACAGGGTCATGTACCAGTTTAGAACTATATAGCCACCTTAAACACTGGTATAGAACCATGATTTATTTACTATACTGTAAGTGTATTCTTATTTATAATTTAAAATTCTGGAACCTCCTGATACTTACAATTACCCACCCTCTGTGATATTCCCCTGTACTTTACCACTGCCTACAGGTCTTCACCCCTCCAGCAAACTAAACTAAATCAACACCAAACAATGACTGAGTTTAGCAGGAACGAATCACTGAGCGCTGACATACTCAAGTAATTGTTGCTTTGTGATCTATTTCTACTACAGTTAGACACAGTTTAATAGTTTGTTTAGTTTCTCTGGGATGCTGAAGGTGTAAACAGGCAAAGAACGAATGATATTGCAGGAGGAAAAATAACTGTATACATTAGGACGTTCCAGATGTGTAAACAAAAGAAAACTCTCGCAAAGCATTCATGATTCTAACCCAATAGTAATGAGGAATGTCATACTAAACTGGTACCTTACACAAAAGGGTAGAACCTATGTGAATATCTCAACATGTACTGTAGAATAATCTTTGTATTTTTTCATTCTTTATTTTATCAAAGAAAATAAAAGAAATATGCTCTGAGGAAGAAAAGCTGCTTCAATATAAACCTTTCATGTTCTGACTTTTATTGTCTGTTTATGACGGACTTCAACAAAGAGACCACATTAAGAATGATATTAATGATGATAATGCTGCTGCTGATGATGATGATGATGATGATAAGATTTAATATAAAATTGGATGCCATTACAGTATTGTACTATGTCACTGAACCAATAAAATATCTATATTGTGATCTGAAAAGACTGCTGCAGACTGTGGTGTACCTCTGCTTAGAAACATACCAAACATAATAAGTTTGCTGCAGTGCCTCCAACATAACAACATTAAATAAATAAAAAAAATCGTAACCTAACTGACTGAAAATTCCTGGAGTCAAGTCGCCTGAACCACAATATTTTTTTGTGTCTGACCTAAATGTTATACAGCATATAAAAGTATAATACAGATATCAACAAACTATTTCACGAAAAATAAAAAAATAAATCAACAAAAAGGTCACAACAGAAGACAAGACACGACACACACACACACACAAACAACGGAGATCACAACGCGAGCGACGGCTAACTGCGGGACAGTCTGAATGTGTATAGCTCCATGGGTTGTAGAGATAGCGTGTAGGACTTGGTCATGTCCACGCCCTCGTACAGCATCGAGAGGGACATTTGGTGCACCTGCTCGTTAAACATGCTGGGGAACAACTCCGTCAAACGTACCTGCAAAGACGACACGATAAAAATGCATATCTATCTTGATCAATCTACCATATCTACCTCCAACTTATTTTTCAATATGGTGAAAGTCCCATCGTCCGCTTGTGCTTGCTTCCCAACCACACCAAAGTACAGTACTGTGCTTAAACAGAATATACCCAACCAACTCTTTCTATAGCCACCTGGATGAAACTACTGTACCTTTTTCTATAACCAATTATCTATATCTGTCTGTATTGATTCTGTCTCTATTTTATCAATCTCACTGTATGTACACTGTTCATCTATGTTGTCTCCTTACTCGGTACATGATGAACCAACTGTAAACCCATGTGTTGATTTTTACTGAATGAAAATCTATCTATCTATCTATCTATCTCTCTCTGTAGGTGGTATAAACACAGACATCATCAGAAGATACAAATTTCATCTGAAAAATTATGTAGTCGTTGCACTTGGTACTAAATCCATTGACAGAAGTTATAAGCAATGCCGATTTTAACCCTGAAATGGCAGTCATCATCAGCGGAAGTTTGCTGTAGGGACGGTGGCCATCATTGGTGGACGGTGAAATTAATTCAATATACTTGACAATGCTCAAGGTATATCTCTGAATAAACAAAGCCAACATAATTCTTACTTATCATCCAACATATCTTACCTTCCCTCCATTAGTTGAACAGACCAAACCGGGTGACTTGAAACCGCAGTCAAAGCCAAGTCGGTGCAGCGTGAGCGATGTTATTGATCCCGGGGGGTGTTGCGTCAGGTGGGAAGTGCGGCCTATCGTAGCCCGTGGTGGGTCCAGCATGGTGCGTAGGTTCACCATGTGTACGTCACAGGGCAATTCCCCACCAATGTCCCATCTGTGTTGTGTTGCACCAACCTGTAAGAGGACATAAGAGTTACCTTGTGTACAGTACAGTATACTATAAACACCTTAATCCACACCATATACATCTGATAAAATAATTGGTATATTTATGGGAAAGTGATGTTTGTCTATCTGTCTGTCTGGCTGTCTCTCTTTATATGTCTATCTGTGCATGTCTGCCATCTATCTATCTGTCTTTTTCTTTCTCCCTCAAAAATAAATAAGTACAATAAACAAAAATTAATAAATAAATATCCCTGTAGTAAACACAATCAATTAATTATTACCATAACCAGTACACACGCACAATAGAGAACTATCATCCTTCCCAACCTCACCTTGGCTGTCGGGAGGAGTGCGTACATTGGGTAGAGTAGGCTGTGGAGCCCCGCGTGAGCCAGGAGCGACGGGAAGGCCATCAAATCCTCACGGCTGGAGCCAGTGGTGGATTCCTGCAGCGAGTCATGTAATAAATATACCTGCTGTAATATTAACCCTTCATGACCTGTAGTAGTATCCTGACATGGCCTGTACTAGTATCCTGACTTGACCTGCACCATGATCCTGTAATATTAAACCTTCATGACCTTCACCAATAGCAAGTCACAACATAAAAAAATGATAGTGAGCCCATATGTCCTGCACCACACTACCATAACACATTAATACAACAAAGATCTATGAGTAATCTTGGTCACACTCATGTATATATAAAAAGAAAGATGTGAACACCACTTTGATATCCGTGTGTAATCTTAAACTCACGCAATGGAGTGTTGTTTTATATACATTACTGTCCCATATATTAAGACTAACAGATACTGTATCCATGAGTGATCTTAACCTGCAGAGTATATATACCTCAGTGAATATTAATACAGTTTTAAATATATTATTGCCCCATAAATAAATTTGGAGGGATATATTTCACAAGACCACCTCAAGAAATATTTACTAACTATACTGAGCCAACAGTAAATGAATCACAATTACTATAACAGAACTTCAACAATAAATGAATAACAGGTTAATTACAATTATAACAGAAGCCTTCACTCGAGCCAAACCTTAGTGCTAATGCGAGGTTCCAACAACAGACGGAAGACACAGGAAGTGAGCACGTTGTCTTGTAAACCCTGACCAAGTCCCCGGTTGTCATCCTGCATGAGACGCCGGTCCATCATCACCTGTCGATGAGTTCGTTCTATATACTATTTGCATTTTTCTCAAGTGTGATCCATAAACAAAACTAGTATCCCACTTTAAGAACCTGGAACATCCACTCAAAATAAAACTGTATCCAAATATTAACACAACATTGAGTAGGATTCATTTGGACTACTAGTTAGGTGGCAGCAGAAGAAACACAGGGTCTTGGAGACAATTTTCTCCTGACGTTTCATTCATTAGAAGTAAAGTTGTTTCTCTGTCCGTGTTCCTTTGTCACCACTTCACCATCTTTATAATAATCCTTGTCTATAACTGTCACTGAAGAGCAACATGTGTTAGTATTACTCATACCTCCAGCTGACCGTTCTTGAGGGAAGAACCACCAAGAGGCTGGGCTGAGAGTAGAGACAGGCGATGCTCTTTGTCCTGAATGAATGCCTGTGATGGTATGGGGTAATAGTTGGCCTGGAGGGGTAGCTTACTGTACCTCATTCGCTTGCTGATCTGCAGGATAATGTAGGCTTTAACATACATAAGCGATTCTATTACAATACCGTATACATTATTTGCAAACATGAGATAAAACAGCACACCCACACCATATGACAGTTAGGGTAAGTAAGTTCAGAGACTCATTCCCATGACTTCACACAATGATCACACCTGTACACAGACAAATACATCCTGCACATCCATGCCTACAAACAAAATCCTATTTCATTAAGTTCAATAATTAATTAGTGTACTCACCTGGAAGCCATTCAGATCAGTGTAGAAAACATCTTCATTGTTGATTCCTGTGTTGAATCTCATGACAAACTCAAAATTGCGTTCCAATCTGATGTCGACTAAGTTGGTGATGTCTATCCCCATACCATCCACACCTGGTGAGGGAAGTGACTGGATAGACTTTCATCAAACTTTAGTTACTAGGACAAAATTTTGAGTCATGGCAACATCTGTAAAAGTTTTGAAATATATGGTGACTTTAGTTCTCAGCAAACAGTCACTGGGTGTGGCACAAGTTAGTGTACATTTACCAGCAGCATGAAAGTGAGCAGCAGGAGGAGAGTTTGTGAGAGGTCTCTCAAAGGCCACATTGGCTTCACTGTTATTCCACAGGTCATGAGAATTTAAGCACCTGCCATGATATAAAAATAAGTTTCCTAATTTCATTGTGATGTAGCAGGAGCTTTACATGTGACCTCTACACTCGAGATAATACAAGAAAAATAAAAACTGACATGTTATTAAGAAATTCAGCAAAGAACATTTGTCTTTGCACTTTTCAGCAAAAATTTCAGACACCACTCCACTGACTAGTTTTGCCAGGTACAAAAGGTGAACAATGACACACAGTAACCAGAGTAACTCAAAATTCAGCCATTACCTGGAGAGTTCTTGATCTTGACAGTGTGGAGGATATCCTTGAGTTGTGTCGACAGGGTGGACATGATGGAGCCTTGCATGAGCACCACTGGAGGCTGACCCATCGGCACTGGCACTGCCTCCTTGTCGGGCAGGAACAAGTACGCTCCTGCAGTCTCATGGTGGTTCCTGCAATATTACGGTACACCATTATCATACCATACTAGAGTACTATATAATTACCTTATCATTCCTTAAAGACATCTAGTATTTTTTTATTAACAGTCGTACATAAAAAACCCTCAAATCTTACACAACAGTTAATACACAAAACTCAATCTTGCCATTTTCAGTCCACCAATCTTCCTCCATTGAAATTTATACAATATGAAACAGGTTCATCAACTTCAAACAACTATAGTACATGAAACAGCAAAACAATTTATGAACTAAAATAAAATACCATATAAATGAAATCTAGTCCACAGTGAAAGGAAGCAACATTGGTCTTACTTGACTCCGTATTTGACAAACTCGAGAGAGACCAGAACCGTGTGTCCCTGGGTTGTTATGGACTGCAGGAGGCCGTTACTGGTGAAGGTGGCTTGTATCTGCTCGTTGTGCAGCGTGAAGGGATCTTTACTGTTCTCCTCGGTGACGGTGAAGACGCTGGGTACAGAAGGGATGGCCATACCTCGCACAATCACCTTCGCATAACTCACCAGCCTGGGTAACACAAGTGTAGTGATGAATCCTTAGTGTGTCCCATTATCCTAGCTTGAATTCTATCCACATACAAATAAAAAAGATTAACATTAGAAATAAACACCCTAGTTTATTTCATCTCAAGATTAACTACACTAATGTTAACCTAACCCACCCTTCCAGCTGTTAGCATTAAAGTGTTGAATCATCAGGTGAAATTAAGCTTGGGAGGGTTAATCTTCATGTAATTCCCCAGAATGTAATAAACTAGAGAGAAAAAAAGAAATTTACACAAACCTACAATACCACTAATGCCAAACGATTGTATTCAGCTCAGAGGGGGGTCCTGTATACAAGGGGTTAACATATCCATGAATTAAAGATAAAATGCCTCCAACATGACTAAGATCTGTCCTCTGGGTGGTAATGTCTTGGAAGTAATAATGGACGAATTGTGAACTACAAAACTTACTCTAACTTTGTCACTGATGATGTACACACGGACAAGATCAACAGCAGAGAAGGATAAAGAGGAGGAGAGAGAAGGATATAGAAGAGAGAAAAGGATAGAGAAAGAGAGAAAAGGATAGAGAAAGAGAGAAGGAAACAGAGGAGAGAAGGATCTATCATACCAGGTACACTGCCCCCCCCACCCCCCTCCCACACAAACACACCAATTAGCAGGTCAAACCAACACGCACAACACAACCACATACTCTGAGTTAACACTGTCGGGCTCCACCGCTTTTATGGTGTACTTGGTGAGGGAGAGAGAGAGAGCGTCAACCTGGAATGTGACGTCGAACATCGTGGGCGAGGCTTCCGACGACTGAATGAACACCGGGTCCACTTGACAGGGTATAATCTTATCTTTCTTTCCTACAATCTGGAAATAAGAAACATGATAAAATATATTGACTAATAATACTCGTTAACAGGGGACAGGAGAAGTACTTTGGATTTCTATAAGGAACAAAAACATGAGAGTTAAAAGGTACTGTTATCAAGATCAATTAAGCTGGATAACCTGAAGATTAGATACACCCCAGCTCATCTCACCTGATGATTAAAACACCCTAATACTAACATAACCTAACCTAACCTAACCCCCTCAGGTAGCATTAGGGTGCTTGAACATTACGTGAAATAAGGTCAAGGGTCTAATCTTCAGGCGATCCATAAAATTCTATTCATGAACACAATTACAACTACTGTACAGATACAAGTGTTTCCCATAAGGCAGCCAAAAAATTATGTTCAGGTTTTAATGAAGATAAGGAGAGAAATGTACAAAAAAAGTAAATATACGTACTTCACCACGTCATTTAGGTATAGAGTACAGGTTAGGTTAGTAAGGTTGGGTTTGGCTAGACTAATTTCGATTAATAAGGTTAGGTTAGGTTCAAGTAAGCAAAGACAAATCACAAGTAAAAATGCCCACGACTAACCTCCACATAAGGACTCGAGGTTCGGATCGTGAACAGCTCAAAGCGGTGGTGGGCGTCCGGGTTATATATGAAGATCGGTATCGCGGAGCCACTCTGCAAGGCGAGGATCAACTTCGAAGCGATCTGGTTGTGCTCTGTGTACTTCTCTCCGAGCTCGAAGTACACGGCTCCGGGATCACTTTTATAACTGTGCTGTAGATGATAAAGTTGGATACTGTAAATGCTGACTGGGTTGTACAGCTAGGTTGGTGTAACAGTAATATACATTTATTTTATTCCATCAAAAGTACTGTTAGCTTTCTATTATTCCAATCCCTTTAACCCCTTGAGTGCAATGGCTTTAATCCCTTGAGTACAATGGCTTTAACCCCTTGAGTACAATGGCCTTAACCCCTTGAGTATGACATAACCCCTTCAATATGATATCTTAACCCCTTGAGTACAACTTTATCCTACTCGAGGGAATAGGTCGTCGTACTCAAAGGGCTAATACATCGTACTCAAGAGATCAAGTCGTACATGGGGTCAAGATAATTAATTGTACTCCTGGGTTTATTACATTAGCACTTCTCTACATAAACCTGACTCACCTCTCTACTCAACTCATCTACACAAACCTGACTCACCTACACAAACCTGACTCATCTACACAAGCCTGACTCACTTACACAAGACTGACCCACCTACACAAACCTGACTCACCTACACAAACCTGACTCACCTACACAAGCCTGACCCACCTACACAAGCCTGACTCATCTACACAAGCCTGACGCATCTACACAAGCCTGACTCACCTGATCAATAGCAAGCAGGTAGTTGGCAGCTTGTTGTATGATGTGTTGGCAGTCGTTGACACTACTCATCAACCTGTAAGAGGCCAAAGGTAACTGTTATAAATGGAAGGAATTATATGGTATTTTGGTGAGGTCTTCAGAATGGTAGAACTCCTCCTAAATCACCATCAATCCTTGTTGATGTTATACACCCAAACTGATTGACTTTTCTCTCTATAGACTTCCTGACAAACAATATTAGTGTGTTTACAGTTGTTAGTAAACATTGGAAGCCAGCTGGTGTGGGAGGTTCGTCAATCATGATCAGTTGAATCACACCCATGGGTCAATTCTGTATAACTTTGAAAAAAATTATTTGAACTTATTTATCTATTGGAAATAAAATATGGATTACTATAGTCTCAAAAATGGGTAAATCGGCAGCTCCCGAATCAAAGCCATTTTTTTATTTAAGTGTAAGAAAACTCCAGAATAATGAGCTATGCAGGAATCTAACCTCATGCTTCAGTCAGTTTCCTCTGTACACTGTGCAAATACTTCAGTACAGTATATGCATATACAAGTACTGTACAGTACAGGATATATAAAGGTACTGCATCTTTTACTGTACAAACCCTGTACAGTAACTTATATGAAGAGGTCATTAGTCACAAACTCACCAAAATATACCGTAAGACTAACCTGTTGGCATAATCCACAACAACATGTTCCCGCGCTGTCCCGGTGATGCCATCGTGGTGCTGGAATAGAGCCAGGTTCCTTCGTGCCAAGACCAGGCGAGCCATCAATGAGTCGGCCAATTCAATTAAGGGTTTGCCCGTCATGCTTTGAGTGCCCAGCATCACCGAGAACAAGATTTCTGCTCCTCTAAAAAATACAAATAAAATATATAAAGATTAATATATAATCAAACAATAATTCAGGTGTTTAAAGATATTAACTTGTGAGTCAGCCTGCATATACTGTGACCTGACTTATTAATTCTAAAATAAAGTTTCACTGAATACATCACTCCTGAATTCACTAAATGTGGCTAATTTACCTAATGACCATGACAACTATAGGTGGCCATAATAGGGTAAGGAGGCTAGTGGCTTGTGTAGAATCCCTCCACTGTTCTTGAGAGTCTTTTCCTGGGCTACTTTGAAGCCCACTACTGTTCTTGCTTTAATAGTTTCAGCTGGTAGACTGTTCCATAGGTCTATCATCCTCTTTGAGACTTGAAGCATGTCCTCTTGTGTTGGTGGCACTTGATATCTTGAAGAAGTGATCTGGGTTTACATTTTTCATCTGTGAGATCTGCCCAATTGTGTCTTGTCTGAAGAGTTGTCAGTCCTCATAATCTCAGTCTACTTGATTTATCGAGATGATTTAGTTCAGGAATAATGTTAGTTGTTCAGTGCTGCACCTTTTCTAGTGATGTTAATGTCCTTCTGAAGGTAATGTCACTGTTTGTATACAGTCATCCACACGGGGACGTCTGAGAGACTCAAAGTTGAAGAAGCATTATTTTATATTTATATTCAAAGGTACAGTTTATAATTTTTAGAATTTGGTCGGCTTCCTTTACTGCTGTGTCCAAGTGCTGCTCTGCTTTAGGTACAGGTAATTGGTGTATCAAGATGCACAGGTCTTCTTCCTTATAAACAGGTACCAAGGCAGAGCTATTCACAGAATAGTCATGTTTTAGATTACAGTATTGTGGTCCGCATACAGTCTTATATTTTACCGTGCGAAGAGGTATTTGTCAGTTCTGCAACTGCTTGAAAAATTCATGCAAATCTTTCTGCATGGTTGTGATATCTTCCCGCCTTGCATCCTCGACATACATCTTCGTATCTTCTGCAAACTTGTTTATGTTGCTCGACGAAGATTATCATTCTCATCACTGGTGATTTCTCTGGAAGATTTCTTCTAAAATAGATTACAGCAGTTAACTATGCAGCAGTAACCCTTTTTCTTTAAAACACAGCTGGTTACTTCTGTGTGTGTGTGTGTGCAAGTGTGTGCATGCATGTGTGTGCTTCCCATAAACAACAGAACACAAATAAATTGTTAAAAAAGTGACAGTCTTAAAACAAAAACTCTCAGTGTGCCTCAGAGCTACATATACTGTAGTTCTTCATCAACCTTTGCAGTGCAAAAAAATATGGTGTGTGAATTAAAAAAAAAAAAAACAGTGGAGGACGAAAAAACAAAAAAAGCTTTCCTTGATTGTGCCTACAAGGCAAATGGTTACCGTATATCGGCCTACAAGGCGACGGGGTGTATAAGACGGCCCCCAAAATTTCCATCTAAAACGTAGATTTTGAGCCCTATTCGCTGTATAAGACCGGTACCCCAAATGTGACACTTACCATTGGGAGCTTACTGACCCAGTAGTCCTTTACCAACCATCCCATTGACCAGTGCTGTTTACACATCCTTGGTTTTTTAAAATAAGGCCAATTCACTTCAAGTAATGGCATCAAATGTTACCGGTTGGTGTAGTGTAAACACTAGTGACTCACTTAAAAGTCTGTTATTTAACTTGAACTAATGTCGGTGTCGAATACAATTGTTTCATTTACTTGAAATGGATTTACCGATTTATTTGTTTATTTATTTATTTATAACATACTGTAATATATTAAACACACTGCAAGTATTTTCTTTAATTTATAAGCTTGCTTCAACCAGCTACAGTATTCTAATTCAATAGTGTTTCATTAGAATTTGAGTGAAAAAGATTACTGTACATACTTACTACAGGTGGCCTATCAAAAATCCGGCAACCTCGGGACCTGAGGAGTGCCGGATTTTCGAAAATGCCGGAAAACTGATGGTTATATTTGCTGTATAAGTTTAACAGAAAATGACTACCTGTACAGTCCTTTAACCAAAGAAAATTAAACACTTAAGTTAGGATAATATAATTGACATTGCTGGATTCCTTGTAAGACCAGGAATATTTTGAATATAAATGTCATATATTTTGCACAAAAGATAACATATTTACTCAGAGTAAACATTATATCTAAAATTTGTATGTCTAATGCAAAATCTATGATGTTTATATTAAAAATGATCATCAAATTGTAAGAATTCCAGCAATGTAAATTATATTCTGGCCGGGTAAATTGTATGAATTTTATGAGCTAAAACATATATCTTCATTAAATAAACAAAGAAATATTTGAAAATGCGCTCTGAAATCCATGCCGGAAAACTGAAGGTTCCGGTTTATCGATTGCTGGATTTTTGATGGTCAACCTGTACTGACCACCTCCAAACACAAGGACGGCTAAAAATAGCCACAGGCGGTCACAGTCAAGGTCACTTTCCCTTTCTTGTCACTGGCAAATGGGGGGGGGGGTGATGATAGCAGCTGTGTTATCTAAGAGGTAAGAATTTTATCTCTGGTGCTTAAGACGACCCCCTAACTTTGGGCTGATTTTTTTTTTTGTTCAAATTCCGTCTTGTAGGCCGAGATATACGGTACATGCAAACAGTTACAATCACCCTGGGACAATAATAGCACCACCCACAAGGGCTAATCTGATACTTACAGTCTCTCCAACACACCTTCATTGCTCTGTTATACTCTTCAATTAAAAATAATCTTGAGTTAACTGGAATTAACTATTGAGGAAGACCAGAATTATGGGAGAAAAAATGAAAATGATACATAACTGGGTGAAGCAGGTACAATACACACGATCAAATATGTATCTGTGCACATTCAGGCGAAACAATCTGACACCACAGACGATGGATATTGCAAGATGCCACATATCCCTCACCCGAAAACCATTTTGTTTAGTCAAGAAAAACGAAGAGTCTTTAATGAGTGTTGCATAAATCCTGCCACTTATAAATCAGTGTACCAGAGTGTAATAAACAGGTACTATATTTATCTATCAAAAGCAGGAGGATTTGTGCACCTCTGGACATCCTATAGTGAGGCTACAGTTCTCTCCTGTCACAAGATGAGAGAACATTACCCATACATCTCCAGGTGGTTGAAGTAATACCTATCAAGCATCACCTCACATAATGTCAAGTACTGTAGGTGGGGGATTAAATATCATGTGTCTGTAATTTAGTTATATATATATATATATATATATATATATATATATATATATATATATATATATATATATATATATATATATATATATATATATATATATATATATATATATATATATATATATTATATATTTTTTATTTATCCCTTTATTTGTATAATATTTTTCAAGTGTTTCTATGGGGATCATGACTGGAGAGGAGGTGTGGAGGACATGAATTACACGCACCTGAGATATCCTTCCAGTGCTCTATCTAAACTCTTGTGGAACGGCCTGGAGGTGTAGTAGCCGCTCCAGTAGTGGTCGTCACGGTCGGCGTACGTGAAGAAGTCCCCAGTCAGAGAGGGGAAGATCTCCTGCTCCTCCCCGCCTGGACCGTCGCTCTCCTCATGGACGGCACGGAAGTAGTCCGCTAATGTGCCGAACTGGGCCTAATGGTGTACGGGACATATATTTTACTGAGAGCATATATATATGACAAGTTGAGTGAGAGAGAGAGAGAGAGAGAGAGAGAACGGTTTTACCTATAAAATTGATAATGCTATAACGAACGAAACTCCTACAACGAACATTATAACTTTTTTTTTTTTACTAATTTATTGTTTCTGTATTACAAATATTAATGATATTCTTTATTTCAAGGGTTTAGATGCATATTTATGCACTTTTTTACAATTTTTACAATTTAATATTATATTTTCAGTGTTAAGTGGTTGTATTTGGGGGCCTGGAACGGATTAATCCTATAACGAACGAATGCTATAACGAACAAGGTTCTAGAACCAATTAGATTCGTTATAGCATACCCCACTGTACATATATATATATACTGTGTGTATATATATATATATATATATATATATATATATATATATATATATATATATATATATATATATATATATATATATATATATATATATATATATATATATATATATATATATATATATATATATCCAACTTTCACTTTAGTTATTTATTTATCTTACTTTTCATTTTTTATATTTTTCTAATTCATCACCTCTATGACCGATCATCGTAATAGCAAGTTGGTGCAGTCAGTCTGTTCTCTGATGGGATTGTGTACAGACAGTCCAACATACCTCCATCACAGCTTATATCAGGTTAGGTTAGGTTAGGTTAGATCAGGTTAATTGGATTGGGCTGGGTTAGGTTAGATCAGGCTAGGCTGCATTAGATTGGATTAGGTTAGGTCAGGTCAAGTCACAAAACTAACAACAGAGAAAGATAGAAAAAGGTAAAGGAATCACAAATTCTAATAAGAGACGACCTTGTTTGACTCACCTCTACGTGCATCTCCTCGTGTGAGTTGAGGTAGTCGAAGATCTTCTGGTAGTTGATGAACTGGCTGTCCCACTCCTCTGGTCGCACGTACCGGAAGTCATCGCCCAGAGGCACCAACACCACGTTGGTACGGTACAGCTGAGACTTCTTGCGGTACTGATCCAGGATAAGTTGGGATCTGCAGCCACGATAGATAGATAGATAGATAGACAGATAGATAGATATATAATAGAGATAGAGATAGATAGATAGATAGATAGATAGAGACAGACAGACAGAGAAATAGCTGAGATATTTGTTCAGTAAAATCATCATACAAGTTTACAATGATTCCGTATGTATATCGACAATGCAGGTATACAGTAAAATATACAGTATACAGACAGTGCAAGTACTGTACACAAATAATATACCTAGATAATGCAGGCATACGAATAATTTACCTGAACAGTGCAGGTACACAAACATTGTATGGTATATAACTAGACAGTGGAGATATAAATGGAGTAGTAAACAATGAATGATGGAAACTAACATAAATGTATAAATAAACAACAAACAAGAATAAACAAAGGAAGAATCGAGTCATAATGGACGGTGGCGCATAAGTCAACCTAAGAAACACTTCATAAATAGTTCACCTATGATAATTTAACACACGTACCTGCTCACATACATACATACATACACTTAAATCTTCTATATATAGAGTCCCTTTCATTCATGGTTAGGTTAGGTCAGGTTGGGTTGGGTTAGTTGAAGTGAGATTAGATTTAGTTTAGTTTAGGTTAGGTTACATTAGAATGGAGACTTTAAACTCACTATTGAGATCCTACAGCCTAGTACAAACGACTCATACACAGTACAGTACAGTACACACTTACACAACTCTATGAGCCACTTCACTCTTCTGCTAGAGAGAATAAACAAGACATATTATATACAAACAGCTTAGTGGCTAGACCTGCACTGTTTTAGGTAGTCCACTAACCTTACTAACTGATGACATCACTCCTTTCCCTCCTCATTACCTGTACACCACCCCCCCCCCCACACCTCCCACTCCAACAAACCTCACTAGATGATCGGGCAGTTGGTCTCTTCTGTTATTACTTTATGAACTTTTATCATCCAGTGTTAGTACAGGAGAATGAAGCTAGAGTATACCCCCCCCCACCCCTAGAAAAAATCTGCCGTATTTGTTTGTTTCACGCTGGACTGGTCGTAAATTTTCACCGAGTTATCTCTAATTTTGCATTGGGTTAATATATAGTAATGGTACTTTGTGTATACATAAAGGTACCAGTAAACACGAGACTTTTTGCTGAGGAGAGAAAAGAAAAAACACACCAAAGTTCGTATGCATATTAGACTTCTTTCTGCTCACCATCATTTTATGCCGTTAATTCGAAGCAAACATTTCTCACTCTTGTCCTGTACGGTATTTCCTGACCTGACCTGACCTGAACTCTACCCTACCTTAACCTAGCCTGACTTCAGTACCTTCCAAACAATCTACCTTCACCTTGACTGTGTGCATCAGTCCTTTTATACTGAGTTGGCATCACTTACCTGGATTCAACGTTGTGATCGGTGATGGGCTGGGGCGGTATTTTCCAGGGACAGGTGACGCCCGACCCTGGGAGACGTCGGAAGTCAAACTGGCAACAAACTTTGGGATCGGGGCCACAAGTATGAGGTATATCATAGCTATAAAATGGCATCAAGTGGCAAAACATTTCTGCCGTTGACCCGGAATCTAGAGGGAAAAAGAAAAAAAAAAAAACATGAGGATTGTATCGATTTCCTAAGCTGGTAAGAACACCCCACCAGGTTATGAGTCCAGTACAATGTTGCCTGAGCTGAGGATTCACAAACTAGAAAACACATTACTTAAATAACAGTGATATCAGGGTGGTTAAGCAGTGGAGGGGGAGGAGGGGGACTCTTCAGGTGAGCACTTGTGGGGGTAATCCCAGGTGACCCATAAAGGTAAACTCACAAAAGTTCTCGTTCGTGGTCTCGGTCTCACTTACATCTCCGTTATGTAAACAATTAGAGCCTTACCCCAAACCTGTCTCCACTTGAACTCTAAACTCTTCTCCTTCGCTAGCTGCTTCTTGACAGAGTAGTGGACGCGCTGGATCAACATGTTCTCCAAGCCCATACGCTTCAGCAGGTATGGCATGGTGGCAGTCATCCCAAATGGATCAATTGCCCATCCATTGCTGGTTTATGAAGAAATGTGTAAAAACTTTAAAAGGTGTTAACTATACACTACAGTACTGTATATACAGTTTGGCCTCTTCTACACCAGGGGTTGTGTCCCTACAAGTGGCAGGGACTGTATAAGTAAAACCTGTAAAGGGGCAGGGAGGAGGAGGGGGGAGTTATGTTTCCAGCCACAGCCAAAGACTATTTTGATGATGATTCTGTACAGTATCAAGTTTTCACACATTTAGTAATAACAATCAAGACAACTTGCAGATAAATATGCCAGGATACCCATGAGACGTATGAAGGCCCTGTACGCACACCAATAAGGGAGTAATAACTCAAAATGTCCCACAAATGAGGACTCAAAGATTAACAGCAAATTACTCGACTCACAATCGTGGCTTCGAGTGCTTCACAATGATCATGGCTGCCAGCAATGAAAGGGTAAACATGAGGACCACAGACTCTCCCTCACCTGCTACCATTAATTAACCTCATCTAATTCTTAACTTTATACAGCATCCACTTAACATCTTTTGCTCGTATGGATATAATGTATAACTACACTTGAACTAACAAAACAGCATATTTTATAATTTGCTATAATACATTAAAGCAGGTGGCAGCATATTCATATTCTGCTGGCTTGAAATATTACAGCAGGTAGCAGCAAACACAATCCCCCACCCCCACAAAACATTCCTAAAGCTAACTAAAACCCCAAAAGTGTTCTCTTACTTGGGCTTAACTCCTAGATTGAGCTTGAGCCATTCATGTCCTTCAACCATCTGTTCGAGCATGGCAAAGTAGTGTGTGTTGGCCTCATCATTCATGACCCAGCCACCGGTCACGATCTCCAATTGACCTCGGTCGACAAGTCTGCAGGAAGAGAAGTAACAGCCATCTTAAAGCGGGTGAGGGACAAATAGGGATAACAGAAATAAATGAACAGAAATTAATAAAAGGTAATTAGTCGCCCCCAGCCAAAAATAAAACCAACAAAAAACACCTTGAGTTCTAAACACTTTGTAATATTTGTAAAAAGAAGAAAAGACATGAGGTTTATCCTATTTCTAAGCCCACAGTGTTCACAAGCAATAAATCAGACTCTTCACTACGCCTCTATGTAACCATCGAGTCATGAGAGTTCTCGGATAACATTGCAGACCACAACATAAACTATCACTTGGGGAGATGGAGAATGAGAGTATCTTGAAAGGGTTTACTCAGTGAAGAGGATTTCTGTTGACAGGATGGAGAGAGGATATCTGTTAAGAGGACGGCAGATAACATAAAGGAGTGAGGACAGTGGGAATCAAGATGTATATTGTATATAGATAAGAAGCCGGCAAAGTGAGATGGTGTGTGAAGGAAGGTCTTGTGAGGGTGTAAGGGGAGGCACAGCACAAAAATTAGCAACATCAAATATAATAAAAGCAACGAAACAGGCCGCAATACTGTACCTCCGCACTGTGTCTCTGATGCTCTCAGACTGCTGGTCCCACCACATTGAGAAGAATGATATCTCAGCCCAGATAAATTTTCGCCGCGGGTCTACTGACAGTTTCTCTACCATGTGGTCCAGGATGTGACGGGTCTGGTCGGTGAAGTACTGGTCAAACGTCTTCAACCAGCCTGGGAAAAACCGAAACTTCTTCTTAAAACTAAACTCCATGAATAAACAAGACTACATGTTAAATAATCAATAAGTCAAGAGGTATGAATACAAAAACATTATAATTATTATTATCCAAACTCAATCTGGCCAATTTATTATCATAAGTTATACTGTACAGTATTTCACCTTAAGATTAAGACACCCTAGCCTTAACCAAACCCCCCCCCCAAGCAGCTTTAGGGTGTTTAATCATCAGGTGAAATAAACTGTTACTACCTTCTCTGTGGCTATGACCGCCATCACTCAAAGATACACACTATACCACACCTCCCCTGACAAATTCAATGTGACAGACAAAAGGCCTGTAGTGGTGTAGTGCCTGACCTCTCTTACACCCTTTATGTCCCTGTTCCCTTATATCCATTCTCTCAAAGCTGCTCATGATCCTTGTCCTTCGCTTTATCGCACATGCCCGTGGGAATAACATACAACAGATGTAGGAAATGCATAAATGATGGGCAAGTCGTCATTGTTATTAACGTACCTGGGTCGTTGTGCGAGTGTGGGACAACAAATACTTTTAGTTTCTTCGCAGATGACCACTGGGCAGCCTCGTACTGAATGTCCCACCCTTGCTTCCACACACCACCATCAGGATTGTCGAATTTTAGAAAATTGTAAACTTTTTCCATCTGTCAAAAAAAATAAATAAATAAATAAATAAATAAATAAGTAATAATAATATAAAAAATAGCCATTAGAATACCACAGAATTCTTTCAGTGCAGCAATAGCGTGATGGTTGTAGAAAGTTATGTATTGCCTATATCCCATCTCACCCTCTTCCTTGCCTCTTGAAAGTCTTCTGGCCTGTACAAACTAACCACAAGGCTTTGAATACCATCATTAAGCATTTATCTTCTGTAACATCTTGATCTTCTTTCCGTACAACCTTACACCTCCCATTTCTCACCCAAAAGCACCTTGATTTATTAAGACAAATACTTTCAGATTCCTATGTTTTTTTTGATATGAATCTTTTTTTTGTACATATAAATTCTTTTGTTAACTCTTTAAATACAGGGCCCCCTCTGAGCTGAATAAAATTGTCTGCTGTTAGCATAATAAAATATTAAAAGTGTACATGAATACAGTGATGATGAAGACATGACGCTGTTGTGAAATTTGAGTTAGATCATGAACTACTATACTTTGTCTTTGAGGTATCCAGTAAAAAAGAGAATGTACCCTTAAGTATATCTAGTTGTTAGATTTATAACACTACAAGTGAATCCTGAATGCCTAACCTGTATATCAGCCTGAGCTGGAGCTGCCTGAGCAAAGATGCAGTCATCCTGCATGATGGCAGCGTGGGTGAGGTTGTAGTGCACGGGAGGGATGACCTTCTTTAGGGGTGAGTTAGGCTTTTCTGCAGCTTTAATTGCATTTATGCCATTCCTGGAAAAATAGCATGTGTGCACATTAACAATAATCTGCATTATTCATATTAATGAAGCTCTAAGAATAACATATAGCCATCCTTCATAATGTCAATTTCACGGGTGCACAATTTACTTTTTAACACTAAAATTTAAAAAATACTGTAGCTGTACCATGGATGATTCAGAAAAGAAGGAAAATAATGAAGAATCATGATTGTGCAGCCAAGTACTGCATATAGCACTGGCTGGCTAAGAGCAAAATACGAGTATCACCTCTCTATAAAAGTGCCCATATAGTGTCATCTTATACTGTATATTATATAGCTCACAGGATCACATGCACACACTCCTCATCTAAAACACACATCTGGTAAAAGTTCCCCTTTACTTCGTAAGAACAATACAATAACTCAAATGCAGTACAGCATAGTATAGTACTGTGAACTTTACCTGACAAACTTGCTGGCTACCAGCACACCATACTGGGGGCCTAGCAAAGAGTTGGCCCTGGAGTTGGAGCCCGCCAGCTGACGGACCAGGTTCTTGATCTCAGTGATAGTGAGTTGATTGGCCTGGAGGTCTGACTCTAGTCTTCGTAAACGAGACTCCAACGACACTATTTCCTGAAGAGCGGAAACACAGGTATAATTTTGGCTCAAGCTCACAGCAAAAATCACAAAGAAAGAGATCCATAAAACTTTAAATTTACAACAAATCTGAAGATGAGGATTAATCATACAATTTACAGCAGCAAAATTAAAAACAATTGATTTCATATCTTATTTCATAATAGCATTCTAGATAACTTAATTTTAAGTATCAGTCATCATACATCTTGTCAGAATTCCAAACATTTTAACATCCATCAGTATGACTGGAATACTTGATCATGGATGAATCTCAGCAGCATAGTAATATGAACACCTCCACAAACATCTGGCAATCAGTTACTATCAAGAATTTTGTATCAGTAAAACAAGGAATAAAAGATTAAAGAAATGTGGGTGACTGACCTTCTGTTCACCTGGTGGACGGGTGTCTGGAGGCAGACTGAGCACCTGGTACAACAACACCAGTGTAGCCATGCTCACGGCTCCCCCAAAGACCATTGATGACACCCGCAAACGCATCCTGAAATCGTTTTCATTTGTAAAATCAACACATGTCCCAGAATGACTTAAAAAAGACAGGAGGGTGGAACCTTTCACTGCCTTTTTAGATACAAAAGAACTTCTACAATAAATTCATCCTAATAAACCCACAACTGAAATAAGATGCGCTGTACTGTGTAGCCACTGTACACTCACCTGACACCAAATTTCTGTTTCATTAAATTTAAATATACAGTATTAGTCCCACGTTCAAGAGGAGCTTCAGAGTTACGGGATAACCTTCACTTATTGGACAATACTATAAAGAGTTGTGGAACTTTGAAATTTTAAAGAAAAAAAAATAGATGGGAGACCAATGTTTAGGTGAAATACGTTGGCAGACTAATCTTAAGGTAAAATAAGCTGGGGGGACCAATCTTCAGGTGATCTGGTGTCTTTAATCTCAACAAACACACCACGGTAATAATTATAAACTTACTTGAAGGGTTGTGTAAGTCTTTCCTGTGTGTACTGTAGTGCCTGTCTCAAGGCCGATGAAACATCATATTCCTGTGAAAGTGGAAAAAAAAAACATGTCACCACTTACCAAGAAAAAAGTAAAGGTGGAATCTAAAAGTGATGGAAGAGAAAGATAGAGAGAGTAGAGTAAAAACACCCAAGAAACAATAATGCAGTGTACAAATTATAGTGAAGAGGACAGCACAAATAATGGATAATGGATGGTAAATTATCATTTCGGTCATCCACTTATTTGAAACGAAGGTCAGAATCGTTCATAACACATCAGAAACCATCAGAAAAACATAATTTCAACTTAACGTAACCCAACCTAACCTGACCTAACTCAACCTAACCTAACCTAGACCAACTTAACCTAACCTAACCTCGCTGGATGACTGAAACGACAATACCTGAACGACAATAAATAATACATAATACAACAAAATTATTTATACCTACGAGAAATATACAACAGTGTGAACCTCTACCACTCAGCTGTTACAAGATAGAGACATACAGTAGCTACAGTACCATATGTCTGCCAGAGGTCATGTATGCCTCATTTACAGTATATCCAAACAACATCTCTTGAAATGTCGTGCAATTCCATAAAGTCCTTCTCGTGTTAACCGTTTCCTCCACCTTTACTATATAAAAAAGTTTAAATCCACCAGTTACGTTTAATAGTGAAAGTTAAGAGATTATCTGTACCCACCTTAACCTTTCACCTCTATACCACGCCTGTCTCCTATCCATCTACATACTAAACCAATATATATTAATTTTACTCAATAAATATCTAATTATCTACATTTACATATAATGTCCTTAAATATAGTCAAAGTAGTTATTGCATCACACCCGAGTCTACATCCTACCCCCCCATCACCTTATGTTACCCTCACTACCCCCTCATAACTACCCTGTTAGGCCCAAGCTGTTGTGTTTAGTGGTGATATGTACCTGTGTGGCGCCCTGGCGTGGTGTTGGGGGGTGGTCATGAGAGATAGGACAGCACACAATGGTCTGGGTTGATCTCGTCTGGCTGCCACAACACCACTCTGACAGCTCCACACTCCTCTTACCTCACTCTCATGTTAACACTCAATACAAACCAAATCTTCTCAACGACACCATACCCAATATAATCACCATCAAATATAATAGTTATTTTATTTGTTTAATTAATTTTATTTGATGTAAAATTTGTTTATCTTTATTTCAGACATATACTAAAATAAAAAAATAACATTGTGTGAACTGGATGTAAAGGCTCCTGAGCGTAAACAGACACCACTTTGGAAAAACAAATTTTAAAAACATAATTATGAGATAAATTTAGATTACATTGTATTGTCTAGCAGTCTATGTTAGCTTATTCTTTGTTATAATATTACTGTTGTATTAATGTCTTTGGTAGTAGTTAACCGTATCCCATTAATAACTACCTGTTGTACTGTCTGGTGCCCCGTGGACAACAGGGCGAGGAAAATATACAGCAAGGATTCTACTTCTAGTTACTAGTGTAGAAGGATGACTCACTCATTGGGCGAACACGTTCACAACTTCACTCTCGAATGTGGTGCTGCCAAACAGCTGTTAGGTATACAAAATCGTTGGCAAGCAGGCATTAAAGGGAGGAAGACGCACCTTTCCGTGGATTCACGGTTTTTATTGTCTTGCGCACTTTTTTTACCATCTACAATGGGACTCAATTACTGTGCAACTATTAACTGCTTCAACATCACTTAAAAAAAAAGAACAGAAACTTGTCTTCTGTTTTCTGAAGGATCCAGAGAGGTGAGTGGTAAAAGTACTTCTGTCAATGTTGACTTTATTGTTCATTAGTCTTTATGAGCTCTTCTTTATTTAATTCATTTATTATTGATAACGATCCTCTCTTCAGAATTGCTAATTAACATCACCAGGATACAGTTGTATTGTTAAAAATATGAGGATAGAACTTTGAAGTTTTGGGTCAATATTCGTTTTAGGACCAACCACAACTTTTTCGATGAAATTATTTTTTTTTGTATAGTCCAGTGTGTTTTGAATGGATTTTACATTCATTTCTTGGGCAAATTCATGGAAACCTTACCATCCCAACCGAACATAACAAAGGAAGTTGTGTTCACTCAATTCGTCTTGCCTAATTCACTGAACAAAACCAAGTTTTGGCTGCTACAGCTGAACCATACAAAGTCTGAATACTAAACTGTGTGATACATTTATTATGGTAAACATTCAGGAGAGTACAACCTAGGAACTCAACATTCAGGAGAGTACAACCCAGGAACTCAACATTCAGGAGAGTACAACCTAGGAATTCAACATTCAGGAGAGTACAACCTAGGAACTCAACATTCAGGAGTACAACCCAGGAATTCAACATTCAGGAGAGTACAACCTAGGAACTCAACATTCAGGAGAGTACAACCCAGGAATTCAACATTCAGGCGAGTACAACCTAGGAACTCAACATTCAGGAGAGTACAACCTAGGAACTCAACATTCAGGAGAGTACAACCCAGGAATTCAACATTCAGGAGAGTACAACCTAGGAATTCAACATTCAGGAGAGTACAACCCAGGAATTCAACATTCAGGAGAGTACAACCTAGGAACTCAACATTCAGGAGAGTACAACCCAGGAACTCAACATTCAGGAGAGTACAACACAAGAACTCAACATTCAGGAGAGTACAACCTAGGAACTCAACATTCAGGAGAGTACAACCTAGGAACTCAACATTCAGGAGAGTACAACCCAGGAATTCAACATTCAAGAGAGTACAACCTAGAAACTCAACATTCAGGAGAGTACAACCTAGGAACTCAACATTCAGGAGAGTACAACCTAGGAACTCAACATTCAGGAGAGTACAACCTAGGAACTCAACATTCAGGAGAGTACAACCCAGGAACTCAACACCATATTGATTTTAATATAGGGAGATAGAACGAAGAAATATGACTGCTGTACCTGCACTGTCTTCTACCTGATAAAATTTTCGGCACAAATTTATATTTGTCCAGGTATTTTGACTTCTCGAATTTACTTAAGAGTACAATTTTGATCTCACGAAGTGGGCAGGACTTTGAAGTAGAGGAAAATTGTGTGGTAAAAACGCACAAAAATTGAAGCAAACCAAACCTAATGAAATCTTGCCTAACCTAACTTAACTTTTCCTAACCTAGCCTTACTTAACCTAACTTTGTGTTGGCAATATTGTGTCGTTTCATGAAAAACAATAAGTTGAGAATCAGTCGAGTATAACCTAACCCAACCTAACCTAACAATCCCCAGCCTAGCAAGTGTTCTGAGTCACCTGGTTATCCCCATTCACTACTTCGACAGGTTATCCCCACAGGGCAACATACTTTACCTGTCAACCTAATGTAACCTAATCTGACCGAACCTGTAACCTAACCTAACTTAACCTAATATGGCATCCTAACCTAACCTAATCTAATCTGACTGAACCTGTAACCTAACCTAACCTAAGCTAAACCTAACCTCGCCACACAACACTCAGGGCATCCCAGAATCAGGAAGGTTGCCATACAGTTGGGTCCTGGTGTGACTGTTCTTAAGTGTGTGAGTAAACTGACCTTGAGACACACAAGATAGATAAAAAGATAAAGTCAGGTAAATGTATATAAGACACTAAACACAGTCTACTCAATATTTGAATAATTTTATTGATAAAATCGGAAATTAAATTCATTGTTTACTCTGAGTACTGATAATAGTTGTTTTGCACAAGAAGTAAACAATATATTATTACACAAGACACAGGTGTAGTACACAAACTTAACACTTACATAATCAGCCAAACACTTGGCTTCCTACACTAGTGTCTTCCTTTAACTGGTGATGACACACTGAAGTGTTCTCGAGAGGTTCTACAGGCAACAGGGGCCTCGAGAGCAGCCCTGAGGAGAACTATGATCAGGGTAGACAATTCTCCAATACAGGCAACAGAGGCTGCTGACGACGACAGGCGCCATCGTTCTGGTAACACCACTCAGGCTGGATGCGATCGGCCTGAACACCTCGCTTTACAAGTCTCTGGCGGTGGTGGATGAAGCGGGTCTCTGCTGGCTGCCAGTTGGTGCGGGGATTTGTCCACAGTCTCTCTGCCAACGCCGCCCCACGAGGCCACAACTGTTAAACATCATTATTTTATGTCTCATATATAATAAAGGCAAAGCGGTTACTCTAAATGTACTGGACAGCATATATATACAGTATATATACAGTATATATATATATATATATATATATATATATATATATATATATATATATTCAGTAGTACAATACTGTATTTCATCATTACTAGAAGGTATATACTTCCTGCAGCGGTTAGGTTAGTTTAAGTCAGGGTATGTTATATTAGGTTAGGTTAAATTACGTTGTTAGTTATGTTAAGTTAAGCTTTGGTTAGGATACGTTAGGTTTACGTTAAGGTGTTTAATCAGTAAATGAAATAAGCTGGTGGTGTCTAATCTTCCACTGATGCCTTTCTTTTTATTATATTTATAAGTAATTTTGTGAAAAAAAATTGATATAAAAAATTATGGAATTGTGGAATGTATTATTTGGAGTAGTTTCTGTTGCTGACTTATTGATCTTTTTATGGTTCCCATTACAACCAGTCCAAGCTTTCATCAGTACTTGTCATCATCGTACTCACGGGGTTAAGTCATCGTACTCATGGGTTAAGTCATCATATTCATGGGGTTAAGTCGTCATTGTACTCACAGGGTTAAGTCGTCATTGTACTCACGGGGTTTGTCATCATACTCATGGGGTTAAGTCATCGCATTCAAAGGGTTAAATTCCACTACAATGTCACCCAACGATTGTAATTATTATATCAGTTGTGAATGAAGCAGAAAAGTGACTGGCGTTACACTGAAGTTAAGATGAACGTCAGTATAAGGAGGTAGGCAGACCCATAATGACTTCCATAGCTATGTTGTCTTGGTCAACAGTGACACTAACCTTTGCGTCCATGGAAGCCTCGTCGATCTGCTCACTCCAGAGTGCCGCCTCCCCACCCAACACCAGGTCGCTGTGGGGAGAGCCTGTTAGGTTCCTGGCTATATCATGGGGGCTGTTGTCGTACATAACATGCCAGCCCTGGTAGGGGCTGCACCAGTTATTGCCTTTTGACATCCAATCCGCGGCCCCACAAGCCAGGTACCAGGAGTCATAGTTACTGAAGATGACACGGTAGTTCTTACGCAGGAGCTCGGCGATGACGGGGTCACTGCCTTTGGTCCAGATCTGTATGATGTACTTACTGTTGCTCAGGTACCGTTCAACGCGCTCCTTACCTGTGAGGCCCGACGACCACAATATGCCAGTCACTTGTACTGCTTTGTTGACAGTGGTGAGCAGCTGGTAAGCCTTCTCCTGGAACACGCCCCACTGGTCATAGTAGGCGTCAACGTCGAGGCTGTTGTTATTGGCGGTCATCCAGGAGGTGATCTCCTCCGTCGTGTTCCAGCAGTTGAGGTTCACCTGTAGTGTACGACAACCACCTCAACAAGTGTCCTGAATCATAGTAATATAACGACAATTCTTATGAAATGTGATAGCCAAGACCCTCGATAATTTGGCACTCTGGGGGCTCTGGCCATGCCGAATTAGTTCAAATTTCCATTTTAGCAAAATACACACAACCATATCAGAATCCATGTCCTGAATCCGACTTCTTTTTATGCAGTTGTGTTAATGATCGCCTGTTCGCAATCGAGGTATTATTACAGACAAAGTTAACTTTTTACTTATTTATTTCACTAAATTTTCCTTGAAGGTTCTGAGTAAACGTTAAACTGTTGACTAGAAGTTTCTAATATGTGACAGTAACATACTGACTGAGCTTAATCATTTTATGGAGATATCTTAATCCACACTTACTGTAATCTTTGTTGAGCCTAAGGTAGCTCTTGAGTTCTCTAAGTAAGAAGCAGAGTTGACTCACCTCGTCTCCACCGAAGTGGAATAGGTCAACGGGGCTGAAGACCTGAGCCAACTCCTTATAGATCTTGGCCATCACAGTGTACATGTTGGGGTTGGCGAGGTTGAGCTGACCACAAGGTGGCTGAAAACAGTATGACAGCCACGGTTCCTGGAGACAAAAAAGTGTTGGTAAATATGATGGGGGGGGGGGGTACGTGCGATTAACACTTTATTTCTAATAAGTTTGTAAAACTAAAAGCCGAATTGGATCAGGACTAATGTATAATAAACTCACCTTATTGACGCAGACAGCCAGTTTGCCCAGCCCGTGTGTCTCCCCCCATTGCCAGCCGTTGCCAACATGGGCTGGAGCATCCAACTCCGGCACAATGCGAATGCCCCTCACTCTGGCGTACTGCACCAAGTGTCGCACTTCGTGCGGGTGGTAGATCTGGCTGGGGGTGTAGGCGCCGTAGAAGGCCATGTTAGGGAGGCTCTCCAGGTAGAGTGGGAAGGAGTGGGTGTCGGTGATGTGCCAATGGAAGGTGTTGAGCTTGTTGGCCGCCATAGTATCCAAGGTTCTCTCGATGGCCGCCACGCTGAAGAAGTTGCGAGATGTGTCAAGGAGCAGTCCGCGGTACTTGAAGGCAGGAGCATCATACACGGAGGCGGTTCTGACGATCATGAGTGTGCCTCGGTTCTCGTGGTACTCCACCAGCTGCGTCAGTGTCTCGAGGGCATGGCGCGCACCGAAGAAGTTGGGAGCAATGATGGTGGCTGTAGTTTTGTCTCCGTCAGTGTGTATATGTAACTCATAAGACTCGTTGGTATGGAGGGTGAGGAAGGTCTCCACACCCTGCACCTGTACCTTCACCTCTACACCGTGTACAGCGCTGGAGGGACTCCAATGAGAACTCCAGGGCGCAGAGCCGCTGCTGTAGTGTGGATGGTGCTTCTCCAAGTTTCCCTTGAAAATGTCGAAGGCCTCTCGCAGCAGCGGGAGGACTTCCTCTGTAATCAGGGGCGTGAGGAAGACGTTGGTGGGCAGGAACTCGACCACATCTGTCCCGAGTTTAGCAGTTTGGGGTTGTGGCCACAGGACACCGAAGGGTCCACACGTTAACTTACACTGGTTAAGAGTCACGAGTCCAGCGATGCCATCGTTTACCTCCTTGATACACCTGCCTGACTCACACCTGTACCCCCATGGTGACGGTAACCTATTGAGAGGACACGTGTTGACACCTGTTTATTATGGTTAAACTATACAGTGTGCTCTGTCCACACTGTTCCTAACAGGAAATCATGCCTATGGAACCTACATCCTTTTTTTTATAATTCATATTGTGTTGCTTATTATTCAAGAAGGGCAGCAAGAGTGCGGCATAGAACGAGAGACCAATCAGTCTAACGTGACATACTGTGTACTGTATACAAACTTTTTTTCAAAAAGTTTGTATACTTTTGAAGAAAAAAAATTGGGATGCCATCATCCAATACCTGACCAAGAAGAGTTTTATTAATGCATGGCTTTATGGATTAGAAACCTTGTCTGACAAACTTGTTAACTTTCCTTGACATGGCCACAGACTACGTGGACCAAGGTTCACCAGTAGATGTATTGTGCATGGATTACTCTAAAACGTTTGACAAAGTTCTACAGGCATGACTCGCCTCTAAGGTCCAGGCACATGGCATCACAGCCAAAATATTGAAATGGCTCAAAAAACAAGCAACAAGGAATGATCATAAACGTAGTACATTCTGGATGGAAAAAGGTTCTCGGTGGAGTACCATAAGCACTCTTTGTTGGACCCATCTTGTTTGTGATCTAAATTAACGATATTGATAAAAATATACACTTCGCAGAATGAAGTTTGCTGACATCATGAAGATATTTGGGAAGCTGGCAAGTCAATAGGTATAATGTCTCAACCAAAGAAAATAAATTGCAAGGGGAGCACAAAGACCCAGAACACGACTACTCTGTAATTAACACTACCATGGCGCCTGTGTATCAGGAGGAAGAGACCTAGGCGTCGTGCTAAACCAATTTCCTAAGGCAGAGAAACAAGTGGAGACAGCATATAAAGATAAGATAATGCTTCATCAACTTTATGAGTCTTCCAGACGTCCCCGTGCGGATGACTGTATACAAGCACAGTGACATTCCCTTCAGGACACAACATCACGAGAAAAAGTGCAGCACTGAACTAAATCATCTTGATAATACAAGACTGACAGCTCGTCAGACAAAGGCACAACAGGGCAGATCTCATGGAGTTCATTAAAATCCTGAAAGTATTGAAAGACGTATAAATCCAGGTCATTTCTCTAAGATGTCACGCACCACAACATGAGGGGACACAACTACAACCTCGTCAAGTTATCATACAGAATGAACATAAGGAAATACTTCTTTACACAGAGGCTGTTAGACCTGTGGAACAGCCTACTAACTGGAGCCATGAAAACAAGACAGTACAGTGGGGTATGCTATAACGAACGGATCCTACTACGAATATTCCTATAACGAACGGTTTTACCTATAAAATTGAGAATGCTATAACGAACGAAACTCCTACAACGAGCATTATTTAAAAAATATATATATATATATATTTTTTTGCTAATTTATTGTTTTTTTATTACAAGTATTAATGATATTCTTTATTTCAGGGGTTTAGATGCATATTTATGCACTTTTTACAATTTTATATTATATTTTTCAGTGTTAAGTGGTTGTATTTGGGGGCCTGGAACGGATTAATCCTATAACGAACGAATGCTATAACGAACAAGGTTCTAGAACCAATTAGATTCGTTATAGCATACCCCACTGTACTTGACTTCAAAATAGACCTAGACAAGACTATCAGGACCAGTGAAGGGATCCTACACAGGTCGATGATATCCTTATCCCGTCTTGGCCACCTCTTGTTGTTAATATTTATCAGTGTAACTTTTTTACTTTTATCCTTTTCACCAAAAAATTGACTCGTTAGCCTCTTGGGCGATCGGTCATGTCTCTGTTATGCACCGTTGGAAAGTACTGGGCATGCACCAGCTACTGAACGTACCTGAACTTGCTCCAGTGTTGGTTAAGTCTGGTCTTGAAAGAGCTCACACTCGGTGCAGACACAACACTTTCTGGTATATTGTTCCAAGAGTTTACAACTCTCACACCGAAAAAGTTTGCCCTCACAGTTTTCTGGACCTGCGGCTTCTTCAATCTTGAGCTGTGACCCCTTGTGGGGCGAGCGTCCGCCAGCTTCAAGTAGGGACACTCGACTGAGTAGTGCCCCTTGAGACGCTTATACACCTCAATTAGGTCGCCCCTTGCCCGTCTGTAGTATAAGCTAGGCAAGTTCAGGCGCTCCAATCTCTCAGGGTAGTTGAGGTGCCGAAGAGCAGGCACCAGTCTGGTGGCCCTCCTTTGAACATTTCCACCCAACTGATAGTCCCTAGCATATCTCGGGGACCAGACGGGGTGACAGTACTCCAGATGAGGAAGCACTTCACTCTTGAAGATCGTTACGAGGGACAGACCGTCAAGATATCTGAACGACCTTCTTCAAGACTAGCGTGTGCACTAATCTCGAATACTGTACACGATTATAACCCTTAGTTTTGGAAGTAAAATATTGCACTATAAAACTACCATCTGACTCATGTCCTCACGAACCACCATGCCTTCACACCGCGTGGAAAATTTATCTTCTTCATGTTTATCAAAACCTCACTCATGCCCTCAGGAACCGTGGGAGTCATACTGTGTTGAGCCGCCTTGTGGTCAGCTCAACCTCGCCAACCCCAACATGTACACTGTGATGGCCAAGATCTATAAGGAGTTGGTTGTAGTATTACAGAAGAGTAATTGTGTTAAGTGGATCGTATTTTCTTTAGTCTAGTGGTAGCATTTTTAGGACAAAATGGATGAGTCATTAGAGCAGGAAAGTACCACAGTTAATGTCCAATTGTTAGAGAGGTTGGAAAGGGCTATGTCAATCAACAAGAGACAATACTCCGAGCTAGAAGAATGGCAGACACATATTAGGGACTCAGAACAAGACCGCTGGCATGCAAGTAACTCGAACACTGATCAAGAGTATCCGTAGTCTGAGCAGACATGCATAATAGTGTGAATGGATATCGGTATGTTTTGAATATCACAGATCACTTTAAAGCTTGTCAATTTCTATCCTCTGAGAACAAAATCCACTCAGAAAGTGACAAGAGAATTTGGAAAGTTCATTAAGGTTTTTGGTGATCCTAGAATAGTCATTGCAGATAATGGAAGTGAATTCACGGCTGCACAGTTTAGAGAATTATGTAGAGTAACTGGCCTTAAGACCAATTTTCCATTACCATACCATCCTAGAGGTAACAGTGTCACAGAGCGAATTGAGCCCTATTTTGCAAGGGTTTTTTTTTCTCTTCAAGACACTTACAGAGACAAGTAGGAATTGACTTACCCATTGGATGAAAGTGAGGTGATAAAGAGAGCAGCTGAGAAAGTAAAAAGATATGGAAGTAGACATGTTTGTTCAGCTGAATGAGCCCCTACTTCCACTTTATGATTATTCCTCGGACTCAGGTTCAGATGATGAAAGTGATTGCGGAAGTGTGGAATATCAGCCTGCAAACAGATTCCGTGAGGCAGAGGAGACGAGTAGTTAGAATGGATTTGTAGGACATATAGTTCCAGAATGTTGTGTCGATTGAATATTTTTTAATACACAGTTTGATAGAGTTGATTGTTGAATTATAAAGTTTTTGGTGGGGGGAGACAGTTGCTCAGGTGGTTTGTCAGAATTTTTTTTGGGGGGGATGTTGACTTCGTCAGTGGAAACGAAGTCACCCCGACATTTTAAATACCAGTTCTTACGAACCGAAGTTCGGAAATCCAGGTGTTACATAGGTGGAGAAATCTCATTTTTTTTTGGGTTGTTGACTTCGTTGACTTGATACAACTTCATAGTTTGAGAAAGAGGAACTGCTAGTTTGTCCCGAGTCTGTCGTGTACAGGACGTGTATTTTTACCCCAGACTGGACCCAGAGAGAGAGCCAGCCTTCTCACTGCGGTAAATACACACGTCCTGTCCAAGAGCTAACCACGGGAGAGTGGGCTCTAACACCGTGCGTTGGAGTTGAGTCTAGAACCTCTCGAACGCTTCACTGTTAGAGGAAGACACTAGTGTAGGTAGCAGTGAAGTCCAATTGTTTGTATGATTATGTAGTGCTAAGTTTATGTACTACACCTGTGTCTTGTGGAATAATATATTGTGATAAACAACTATTATCAGTACTCAATAAACATTATTTTGTTTCAATTCCCAATTTTCACAATATATATATATAGATAGTGTCTATCTATCTATCTATTTATCCATACGATTATGTATATATTTGTTACAGTCATTTTATGGCTTACTATGACCCCGCCCCCTTACACCACAAAAGACAGACGTGACAAGACTCGGTGAAGGAAAGGTTTAGGGGGATGTACTACTGGCAATGTAGAAAGTTCACTGACATTAGGTGTGGTTGGACTACACAGGACAACACCCATGGTATAAATTTATGCAGAATTTCTACTGTGCTACCAAGCTCTAAACTGACAATAAACACTGTTGATTAAGAGGGTTTTATGCTATAGAAATACTGTACCGAATGCAATATAGACAAACTATTATTCTAGCCACTACAAATAATATTAAAAAGGTAGAGGTCTTTATTCTTAACGTTACATGACTAAAAATAGTTTCCGTAAATTTCTGTTACAGTTGAACATTCCTTAAGTACAGTAGCATGGTCAAGTAGTAGTACTGTATTGCCACACATCCAGTATATACAGTCAAGTAGTAGTACTGTATTGCCACACATCCAGTATACACAGTCAAGTAGTAGTACTGTATTGCCACACATCCAGTATACACAGTCTTGTCACACCAGAGTGCAGTAAGATGCTGACAACCTCTGTGAGTCCCTCTGAGTCACTCATTGACAACATCTGTTTCCGTTTGCCACTGAGGCGACTGAGCAGTGAGCCACATTGCATAATAACGGGATTACTATACAAATGAGTAACTGGCTACTCGTTCAGGATATCACGAGACTGACTGCATAATGCAATGGCTGAAATGAAGATGAGAGATTAGTTATGGACGATAAGAACAAAACTTTTTATAAGTAATTTTTTCACAGTTGACGATATTTACTGAAAAATACCCCATGGGGTAATTAGTATCGACTGAGGGGGAGGGAGACTCGATGGAAACCAAAAATAACCTAACAAAGCTATCATAATCATTATACTAAACATTATGTCCTTATTTTGTTGTTGTATGTATTAAGTGATCGTAAATAAGTTAATATGCATTGACTCCCTCAACCCGCAGTCTATGGTTGATCCCTGAACTATCTGGGCTGGGCAGGAAGAGGAATAACAGCCATCTTAGAGAGGGTGAGGGACAAATAGGGATAACAGAAATTAATAAAAGGTAATTAGTTGCCCACAGCCAATACAATAATTTAAATACAGCACAGCATAGTATAGTACTGTGAACTTTACCTGACAAACTTGCTGGCTGTCAAAACACCATACTGGGAGCCAAGCAAAGAGTTGGCCCTGGAATTGGAGCCCGCCAGCTGACGGACCAGGTTCTTGATCTCGGTGATAGTGAGTTGCTTGGCCTGGAGGTCTGACTCTAGTCTTTGTAAGCGAGACTCCAACGACACTATTAACTGAAGAGCGGAAACACAGGTATAATTTTGGCTCAAGCTCACAGCAAAAATCACAAAGAAAGAGATCCATAAAACTTTAAATTTACAACAAATCTGAAGATGAGAATTAATCATACAATTTACAGCAGCAAAATTAAAAACAATTGATTTCATATCTTATTTCATAATAGCATTCTAGATAACTTAATTATAAGTATCAGTCATCATACATCTTGTCAGAATTCCAAACATTTTAACATCCATCAGTATGACTGGAATACTTGATCATGGATGAATCTCAGCAGCATAGTAATATGAACACCTCCACAAACATCTGGCAATCAGTTACTATCAAGAATTTTGTATCCCTGAGTAAAACAAGGAATAAAAGCTTAAAGTAATGTGGGTGACTGACCTGTTCACCTGGTGGACGGGTGTCTGGAGGCAGACTGAGCCCCTGGTACAACAACACCAGTGTAGCCATGCTCACGGCTCCCCCAAAGACCATTGATGATACCCGCAAACGCATCCTGAAATTGTTTTCATTTGTAAAATCAACACATGTCCCAGAATGACTTAAAAAAGACAGGAGGGTGGAACCTTTCACTGCCTTTTTAAATACAAAAGAACTTCTACAATAAATTCATCCTAATAAACCCACAACTGAAATAAGATGCGCTGTACTGTGTAGCCACTGTACACTCACCTGACACCAAATTTCTGTTTCATTAAATTTAAATATACAGTATTAGTCCCACGTTCAAGAGGAGCTTCAGAGTTACGGAATAACCTTCACTTATTGGACAATACTATAAAGAGTTGTGGAACTTTGAACTTTTAAAGAAAAAAAATAGATGGGAGACCAATGTTTAGGTGAAATACGTTGGCAGGCTAATCATCAGGTGAAATAAGTTGGGGACTAATCTTAAGGTAAATTAAGCTCTGGGGGGACTAATCATCAGGTGAAATAAGTTGGGGACTAATCTTAAGGTAAATTAAGCTCTTGGGGGACTAATCATCAGGTGAAATAAGTTGGGGACTAATCTTAAGGTAAATTAAGCTCTGGGGGGACTAATCATCAGGTGAAATAAGTTGGGGACTAATCTTAAGGTAAATTAAGCTCTGGGGGGACTAATCATCAGGTGAAATAAGTTGGGGACTAATCTTAAGGTAAATTAAGCTCTTGGGGGACTAATCATCAGGTGAAATAAGTTGGGGACTAATCTTAAGGTAAATTAAGCTCTGGGGGGACTAATCATCAGGTGAAATAAGTTGGGGGGACTAAACATAAGGTGAAACTAAGCTGGGGGGACCGATCGTCAGGTGATCTGGTGTCTTTAATCTCAACAAACACAGCACAGTAATAACTATAAACTTACTTGACAACTGGGACCTTTATGCTAGGGATGGGGTTGTCTTCTTAATTCTGTCGACCGCCGCATGGTTCATGTGTAGGGATCCCCTCGTATTCCTAGAAGCACTGGGTTTGGTCTTGGGTATATATTTATCAATCAAATGGATCACTTTACAAGTTATGATATTCAGCGTAGTGTCTGCGTTCTTGTACCTTAATGAGTCAGGCCAGTTGATACCTCTCATCTCTTCCCTCATCCCATTGTAATTTCCCTTGTAATATTTGCACCTTGGCCTGGTCTTATCCTGAATTAGGTAACAGTTAAATCTGAATGACAACACTATATGGTGACTGGTGCCAACTGGGGCAAGGTGTTCCAGTTTGGCCACCATACCCTCCTCGTTTGTTATGATGTCAAGTGGCTTGGGTGTTTGCTCTCCTCTGTAATGTGTCGGGTCTCTTACATGTTGGAACAGAAAATTATCCCTCAGAGTTTCTACAAAAAGAGTAGCAGGGTTATTCAAGTCATTTGGGGTGGACTTGTTTCTCCAGTCGATGTCGCCATAGTTGAAGTTCCCCATGATAAGGAGGTGGCCGCGTTGTCTACTAAGGTTCTTAAGTTCCTTTGATTTAGTAGGCCACAGTTTGGGGATCTGTAGATACACCCGACGATAAGTAAGTCCCCTCCCTTTAATTTAATTTTACACCAATTGGGCTCTTCAAAAACATCCTCTCCCTGCACCCTCGCCTGGCTGGCTCTAAGGTCTCGCCTAGCATAGATAACCACACCCCTCTTGCAAGTTTCTTGAGAAAGGTTCATAAATGAGTCATATCTGGGTCGATTCTCCTGTTCTTGTACAACAGTTCTACAACTCCTACAATATCTGGTTGGTGTACTCTCAGTAGTGTTTCAAACTCCTCTCTTATGAAGAAACGTGTCGGTATTAGTATACATGACATCCAAGCCAGAATTTGTTCTCGGTAAGGTCTCTGCTCTTAGTAGTAACCCTGCTACCCTCCCCCCCCCCATTCTCAGAAGCTGAAGCATTTGCTAAGTACACTGTATTTTGCAGGGTGTGGTTAGAAATGTCATTGTTTACACGGCGCTTGCCTCCTGTCCGGCAGGCGGAGCTTGTGCCGCCTCCCGGGTGGGTTTAGAGTGGTGGAGGGTGTACTGCTGCCCCCTTGGCCCTGTGTCGGCACACTCGCTTCCACTACCCTCCCCCTGAGTATAACCCATGTACACCCGTCCCCGTTCTTCCTTGACACCTCCCTCTTCTGCTTCAAGTCCTGCAGGGGCTTCTTGTGCTGTTCCCTCTGCATTACCGTGCGATCTGGGTGAATGAATAAATCCCGAAATACCTCGAACCTTGTGTTACCCTCACTACCCCCTCACAGCTACCCTGTTAGGCCCAAGCTGTTGTGTTTAGTGGTGATATGTACCTGTGTGGCGCCCTGGCGTGGTGTTGGGGGGTGGTCATGAGAGATAGGACAGCACACAATGGTCTGGGTTGATCTCGTCTGGCTGCCACAACACCACTCTGACAGCTCCACACTCCTCTTACCTCACTCTCATGTTAACACTCAATACAAACCAAATCTTCTCAACGACACCATACCCAATATAATCACCATCAAATATAATAGTTATTTTATTTTTTCATTATCTTTATTTGCTGTGAAATTTGTTTATCTGTATTTCAGACATTTACCCAAATAAAAAAAATCAATATTGTGTGAACTGGATGTAAAGGCTCCTGAGCGTAAACAGACACCACTTTGGAAAAAAAATATGAAAACATAATTATGAGATAAATTTAGATGACATTGTATTGTCTAGCAGTCTATGTTAGCTTATTCTTTGTTATAATATTACTGTTGTATTAATGTCTTTGGTAGTAGTTAACCGTATCCCATTAATAACTACCTGTTGTACTGTCTGGTGCCCCGTGGACAACAGGGCGAGGAAAATATACAGCAAGGATTCTACTTCTAGTTACTAGTGTAGAAGGATGACTCACTCATTGGGCGAACACGTTCACAACTTCACTCTCGAATGTGGTGCTGCCAAACAGCTGTTAGGTATACAAAATCGTTGGCAAGCAGGCATTAAAGGGAGGAAGACGCACCTTTCCGTGGATTCACGGTTTTTATTGTCTTGCGCACTTTTTTTACCATCTACAATGGGACTCAATTACTGTGCAACTATTAACTGCTTCAACATCACTTAAAAAAAAAGAACAGAAACTTGTCTTCTGTTTTCTGAAGGATCCAGAGAGGTGAGTGGTAAAAGTACTTCTGTCAATGTTGACTTTATTGTTCATTAGTCTTTATGAGCTCTTCTTTATTTAATTCATTTATTATTGATAACGATCCTCTCTTCAGAATTGCTAATTAACATCACCAGGATACAGTTGTATTGTTAAAAATATGAGGATAGAACTTTGAAGTTTTGGGTCAATATTCGTTTTAGGACCAACCACAACTTTTTCGATGAAATTATTTTTTTTTGCTTAGTCCAGTGTGTTTTGAATGGATTTTACATTCATTTCTTGGGCAAATTCATGGAAACCTTACCATCCCAACCGAACATAACAAAGGAAGTTGTGTTCACTCAATTCGTCTTGCCTAATTCACTGAACAAAACCAAGTTTTGGCTGCTACAGCTGAACCATACAAAGTCTGAATACTAAACTGTGTGATACATTTATTATGGTAAACATTCAGGAGAGTACAACCTAGGAACTCAACATTCAGGAGAGTACAACCCAGGAACTCAACATTCAGGAGAGTACAACCTAGGAACTCAACATTCAGGAGAGTACAACCTAGGAACTCAACATTCAGGAGAGTACAACCTAGGAACTCAACATTCAGGAGAGTACAACCTAGGAACTCAACACCATATTGATTTTAATATAGGGAGATAGAACGAAGAAATATGACTGCTGTACCTGCACTGTCTTCTACCTGATAAAATTTTCGGCACAAATTTATATTTGTCCAGGTATTTTGACTTCTCGAAATTACTTAAGAGTACAATTTTGATCTCACGAAGTGGGCAGGACTTTGAAGTAGAGGAAAATTGTGTGGTAAAAACGCACAAAAATTGAAGCAAACCAAACCTAATGAAATCTTGCCTAACCTAACTTAACTTTTCCTAACCTAGCCTTACTTAACCTAACTTTGTGTTGGCAATATTGTGTCGTTTCATGAAAAACAATAAGTTGAGAATCAGTCGAGTATAACCTAATCCAACCTAACCTAACAATCCCCAGCCTAGCAAGTGTTCTGAGTCACCTGGTTATCCCCATTCACTATTCCGACAGGTTATCCCCACAGGGCAACATACTTTACCTGTCAACCTAATGTAACCTAATCTGACCGAACCTGTAACCTAACCTAACCTAATCTAATCTGACTGAACCTGTAACCTAACCTAACCTAACATAATATGGCATCATAACCGAACCTGCAACCAAACCTAACCTAAGCTAAACCTAACCTCGCCACACAACACTCAGGGCATCCCAGAATCAGCAAGGTTGCCATACAGTTGGGTCCTGGTGTGACTGTTCTTAAGTGTGTGAGTAAACTGACCTTGAGACACACAAGATAGATAAAAAGATAAAGTCAGGTAAATGTATATAAGACACTAAACACAGTCTACTCAATATTTGAATAATTTTATTGATAAAATCGGAAATTAAATTCATTGTTTACTCTGAGTACTGATAATAGTTGTTTTACACAAGAAGTAAACAATATATTATTACACAAGACACAGGTGTAGTACACAAACTTAACACTTACATAATCAGCCAAACACTTGGCTTCCTACACTAGTGTCTTCCTTTAACTGGTGATGACACACTGAAGTGTTCTCGAGAGGTTCTACAGGCAACAGGGGCCTCGAGAGCAGCCCTGAGGAGAACTATGATCAGGGTAGACAATTCTCCAATACAGGCAACAGAGGCTGCTGACGACGACAGGCGCCATCGTTCTGGTAACACCACTCAGGCTGGATGCGATCGGCCTGAACACCTCGCTTTACAAGTCTCTGGCGGTGGTGGATGAAGCGGGTCTCTGCTGGCTGCCAGTTGGTGCGGGGATTTGTCCACAGTCTCTCTGCCAACGCCGCCCCACGAGGCCACAACTGTTAAACATCATTATTTTATGTCTCATATATAATAAAGGCAAAGCGGTTACTCTAAATGTACTGGACAGCATATATATACAGTATATATACAGTATATATATATATATATATATATATATATATATATATATATATATATATTCAGTAGTACAATACTGTATTTCATCATTACTAGAAGGTATATACTTCCTGCAGCGGTTAGGTTAGTTTAAGTCAGGGTATGTTATATTAGGTTAGGTTAAATTACGTTGTTAGTTATGTTAAGTTAAGCTTTGGTTAGGATACGTTAGGTTTACGTTAAGGTGTTTAATCAGTAAATGAAATAAGCTGGTGGTGTCTAATCTTCCACTGATGCCTTTCTTTTTATTATATTTATAAGTAATTTTGTGAACAATAATTGATATAAAAAATTATGGAATTGTGGAATGTATTATTTGGGGTAGTTTCTGTTGCTGACTTATTGATCTTTTTATGGTTCCCATTACAACCAGTCCAAGCTTTCATCTGTACTTGTCATCATCGTACTCACGGGGTTAAGTCATCGTACTCACGGGGTTAAGTCATCGTACTCACGGGTTAAGTCATCATATTCATGGGGTTAAGTCGTCATTGTACTCACGGGGTTTGTCATCATACTCATGGGGTTAAGTCATCGCATTCAAAGGGTTAAATTCCACTACAATGTCACCCAACGATTGTAATTATTATATCAGTTGTGAATGAAGCAGAGAAGTGACTGGCGTTACACTGAAGTTAAGATGAACGTCAGTATAAGGAGGTAGGCAGACCCATAATGACTTCCATAGCTATGTTGTCTTGGTCAACAGTGACACTAACCTTTGCATCCATGGAAGCCTCGTCGATCTGCTCACTCCAGAGTGCCGCCTCCCCACCCAACACCAGGTCGCTGTGGGGGGAGCCTGTTAGGTTCCTGGCTATATCATGGGGGCTGTTGTCGTACACAACTTGCCAGCCCTTGTAGGGGCTGCACCAGTTATTGCCTTTCGCCACCCAATCCGCGGCCCCACAATCCAGGTACCAGGAGTCAGAGTTGCTGAAGATGACACGGTAGTTCTTACGCAGGAGCTCGGCGATGACGGGGTCACTGCCTTTGGTCCAGATCTGTATGATGTACTTACTGTTGCTCAGGTACCGTTCAACGCGCTCCTTACCTGTGAGGCCCGACGTCCACAAGATGCCAGTCACTTGTACTGCTTTGTTGACAGTGGTGAGCAGCTGGTAAGCCTTCTCCTGGAACACGCCCCACTGGTCATAGTAGGCGTCAACGTCGAGGCTGTTGTTGTTGGCGGTCATCCAGGAGGTGATCTCCTCCGTCGTGTTCCAGCAGTTGAGGTTCACCTGTAGTGTACGACAACCACCTCAACAAGTGTCCTGAATCATAGTAATATAACGACAATTCTTATGAAATGTGATAGCCAAGACCCTCGATAATTTGGCACTCTGGGGGCTCTGGCCATGCCGAATTAGTTCAAATTTCCATTTTAGCAAAATACACACAACCATATCAGAATCCATGTCCTGAATCCGACTTCTTTTTATGCAGTTGTGTTAATGATCGCCTGTTCGCAATCGAGGTATTATTACAGACAAAGTTAACTTTTTACTTATTTATTTCACTAAATTTTCCTTGAAGGTTCTGAGTAAACGTTAAACTGTTGACTAGAAGTTTCTAATATGTGACAGTAACATACTGACTGAGCTTGATCATTTTGTGGAGATATCTTAATCCACACTTACTGTAATCTTTGTTGAGCCTAAGGTAGCTCTTGAGTTCTCTAAGTAAGAAGCAGAGTTGACTCACCTCGTCTCCACCGAAGTGGAATAGGTCAACGGGGCTGAAGACCTGAGCCAACTCCTTATAGATCTTGGCCATCACAGTGTACAAGTTCGGGTTGGCGAGGTTGAGCTGACCACAAGGTGGCTCTAAACAGTATGACTCCCACGGTTCCTGGAGACAAAAAAGTGTTGGTAAATATGAAGGGGGGTGGGGGGTACGTGCGGTTAATGAACGAGAAAAATAGGAACCAATGATCCGCACCATAGAGGGAGGTTGCCTTATAATATTATGTCAAACTCCACTGAACTGTGACTGAGTAGTCATAACAAGGAGTATATTCCTTCACACTCCCAGTTCACCAACAAGGCTCACACCATAAAATTAAGAGTGAACACATTAGATTGCAAGCCTGGCAACACTTTATTTCTAATAAGTTTGTAAAACTAAAAGCCGAATTGGATCAGGACTAATGTATAATAAACTCACCTTATTGACGCAGACAGCCAGTTTGCCCAGCCCGTGTGTCTCCCCCCATTGCCAGCCGTTGCCAACATGGGCTGGAGCATCCAACTCCGGCACAATGCGGATGCCCCTCACTCTGGCGTACTGCACCAAG